AGGCCGAATCGCTGCTTCCACTGCTTTGAACATCTGCTTCTCATCACCGAATTCTTCACACTTATGGGCTAGCCGCTCAAACTTCGTGAAGAACTCCACTGCTGACTTGAAGTCCACCTGCCGGATCTTCTTCCATTCTTGTTTCCATATGGCTAGCTCAGCCACTTCTCAGAATTGAACGGTTAAGTCTCGGGAGAATTCTTCCCACATGGGGAACCTCCAGTGTCCCTGTGGCGTCTGATATCGGTAGTACTGATCGTTCCACCACTGCTGGGCTTCCCCTCATAGATACCCTTGGGCGAACGTAATGTGATAGGGGTTCTGCCCCTGTGTGTTCATGGTGTAGTATATGGGGAATACTTGGAAGTACATCTCGCAGTGATGCAGGAAGCGGGTGATATCGGAAGATACCCTGGTGAAGTATTCCAGTTGGGTAATTAGCTTGGGTTTCACGTCATTCCAAGGGTTGTTCACTGCCCCCAGAGCCAGTTGCCATGGAGGAATGGGGTCAGGAGGGGGGGGCGGTACAGGAGGGATCGGCGCATTCGGCAGTCGAGGTAGCGACCGTAGGCGTGGGTTGTCGCCAGGTGGCGGGTATCCCTCTGGAAAGCTGGGCGGCAGCACTGGCAGGGGCTGTCTTGGTACGGTGGACTCCTTTCCCTTGCTCGCCGGTCCTGCACCCGGGTCATCCCAGTCATCGTCTAGGTCTGCGCCTCCCGCACCGGCCATAAACTCCATTGTTTCCAATGGGTTTGGCATTGGCTGGGGACGACGATAGGGCTCGCACCCCCTTTGTGCTGCCTCGGGGTGTACCTGGTTCCACACGAGGGCTGCCCTGTGCCAGGTTTCGACTTCCAGAATGTTCTTCATCAGGTACATGTCGCCTGTGTACCTCGCACTTCAGTAATCTTCTCCTGCTTTGGTGAGAAGCCACTGCGGATCTTTTTCCATGTCTTCCATCATGATCTCGTATAGTCCTTCCCATGGAAGGATGTTGAATATTGTTGGGAGCGTCCCCCCGGGCCTAGAGAGAACCGCCTTTACCGTGTCCATCACCTGTTTTTCGAGGGCCACGTTTGGAGGCCTGCTCGGCATCCTCCCTCTCTCGGGTGAGGCAGTCAAGCTCCTTGTTTCGCCTCCACCTCCCAATGTCGGAGTCCTCATCGTTGATCTCGGACTCGTACGCACTCCACGCCCTTCTTCTGGCCTTGAGGTCTGTTCCAGCCTGCTGTACGTTCCCGGAATATCTAAGGGCGGTGGCACGTTGTCGATTTTCAACTTCGGCGGGGGTGGCGTCAGGCTCGAGGGGGAGGTCATAATGACCTCCTGGCCCGAGGAGGGTGGCGACTTCGGCCCTTCGGATGCGTGCGTCATTTTCTCTTGCAGCGTCCATTTGGGCCTGTACCTCTGGGGCGAGCCTGGCATCTCGTGTGAGCTCAAGCGACTCGACAAGGGTGTGGTAGAGTAGGGGCCAGGGGCACTGATAGCGAGGGACTGGGTCAGCGAATGCTCTTCCCATGACTGACAGTGTAAAAGGGGCGACAGGGGCGAGGTCTCCGGCACCGGCAACCGTTCCAAGTTCCTCGGGGTCGTAATCTGGGAACTCAGCCCAGAGCTGCTGATCCATTGGTTCAGCCCTGGGGACGGCAGGGGCGAGTGCACTGGTTTCTGGTATGGGAGGGAGGGGCCGCTTGGTCGACTCTCCGGCCACAGGAGTCTCTTCCCCTGGGTCAGCGTAGACCCAGCTGGTTCTTGGGTACCAGGCAATGGGAGGCCCCCAGTTTGTAGGCCAAACAGGTCCAGCAGTCCCTGCTGCATTTGTATGGGAGGTAGTCGCGGTGGAGGCCTCAAGGGCAAGCTCTCCGGGATTGTCATCGTAGTCATCTCGTGTTCCTCCCCTTTCGTACCTCCTCTGCTCACTGCCCCAATCGGCGTCAGTCCACTTTGTCTGGGAGCGTCCGCTCCAACTGTCTCCGGTATGGGTTGCATCTTCCTCCTCGTTCGGGTAGAGGTCACCAAGGAGGTCTTTGAGTCGGATCCTTTCGAGGTCGGTGAGCTCGTCCCCTTCAAACTCGGTGTCAGCGCCTTCTTCGTCCTTGTCCAGATCCCCAGCAGCTTGTCCTCTGACTCCATCGGTGCTTGACTTGCCTTCGACTGGAGACTGGTCCAAGAGGCCTGGTAGGGGCAAGTCTCCTCGGTCGAGGAATATGCCCTGGGTATCTGTGATGTTGACGGAGTCGACTGACTCGGCAGTAGCGCTTCTGTAGGAATTGGTGCTCGACCCTGAGGATCACGAGCTGGACCGCGACGATCCGTAGAGGGACTCTCCAAGTCCTCTGGGTGTGACGTTTCTGCCATCGTGTAGGCTTTGTTGGGAGGCCTCTGGAATGAATATTACCGGAGGCGGGTACGTGGGTGTGCTGGGCACGTAATGGAAGGGAAGCTGAGTGCGAACCCTCCTCTGTTGGCAGCAACAGTGGTGTATTTGGTACAAAGAAATGGACAAGAAAAAGAGTATGAAAATTGCGGAGATTGCGGGAATGGCATCGGACAAGGGCATCTGTGCGTGCGTCTATCCTTTGTAAAGTCCGATGGTTACGATTAACCATGCGACAGTCAGGACAGGATAAAGTTCGCTAGTCGTTATCAGCACAATGACAGCTGAGATTACGACTGCTTGTACGATGACAGTGAACAGTGTCAGTTTGAAAATGTGGGGTGTCTTTTTTGTTAGAGTCGAATAATCCCGACGTAGAGTCCTACAAGGTAGGCTGCAAGTATGGGGGCCGGAATGTAGAATCGACACAGGATAATGGTAATTGCTACTCTCGTCAACGCTGAGGTTAACAGGTCTCACAATAGGAAGGGCAGCACCTGAAGGGCAACTGCGAGGAGTATAATGATTGGGTAAATGATGTTGGGTAGCGTTCGTTTTTGATCGTGACGCTAGGCAACGTATGATGAGCTTCGGCTAAATGTTAACAACCAACTAATCATTGACTTAGATCATACTAGGATCACCACTCGCACTTCGGTGGATGATACTCTAGCAAGTCAAAGGCAAGGTCAAAGCTGATGGAGACAAGTAGACACGAAGGATGGAGTTCGAGTTGGGTAGATTAAACCTTAGCCGAAGCTGGGTTTTAGGCCAGCTAAGGCTCTACTTAAATACACTTTGGGTATGCTAACAATAGTACGTGAGAAACTGTCTGTGGCGATCACATGTGCATAATCATGCTGAGTAAAACGAAGAAAAATGAATAAACTGTAACACTGAGGGAGGCATAGTCAAGTTTAAAGCTTGTTTAGTAGCACAAGGGTTCTCACAGGTACCTGGTGTCAACTATTTCGACACTTATGCTCCTGTTGCAAGGCTTGCATCCATCTGTTCTATCCTTGCCATGGCTGCAGCACTCGACTTAGAGCTCCATCAGGTTGATATCAAGGGCGCATACTTAAATGGAAAGCTCACCGACGAAGAAATCATCTATATGCACCAACCTCCTGGATATCCTGAGCCTGGCTCTCTCCCTGGTCAGGTCTGTCATCTCGTAAAGACCCTGTATGGATTGAAGCAGAGTGGTTGTTGCTGGTACCAACACCTCGTTGAGATTTTGGTGGAGAAGCTGGGCTTCAAGCAGTGTGACATTGATCAAGCCGTGTTTTACAAGCACGAGGGCCGAAATCTGACTGTTATTGCTGTCCACGTTGATGATTGCACTATTGCCGCATCGTCATTATGTCTGGTGTGCAATGTGAAGGAAGGAATGGCAAAATATGTGGAAGTCACAGATTTGGGGGAGCTGCACTGGATTCTCGGCATTGAGATCACGCGTGACCATGAGTCATGCTCCATTTCTCTCCCGCAACGCTCCTACATTGATGCCATCATCCGTTGCTATGGCTTCGAGGACCTCAAGCCAGTCTCCACACCGATGGATACCAATGTCTGTTTATCCTCTTTTCCTGCACCAGCCTCTACCCGGGAGATTGCAGCCATGAGAGACATCCCTTACAGGGAGTCTGTTGGATCCTTAATCTGGGCTATGCTCGGGACTCACCCTGACATCGTGTTTGCTATGACAACTGTCTCGAAATTTTCATCAGCACCTGCAGAAGCTCACTGGAGAGCTGTGAAGCATATCTTCAAGTATCTGAAAGGCACGAGGGACTATCGGTTGATGTTTGGGGGAAATGGAAAGGTTCTGCAGGGATATGTGGATGCAGATGGGAGCATGGCCGAGGATAGGCATGCTATTACTGGGTATGCTTTTCTGCTGAATGGTGGAGCCATTTCGTGGTCATCTAAAAAGCAGGAGATCATCTCGCTTTCAACCACAGAATCTGAATATGTGGCCATGATGCATGGATCAAAGGAGGCGCTCTGGCTTCGCAGCCTGCTCTCTCAGGTCTTTTCCCCGATTACTGAGGTGATGACTTTGTTCTCTGACAACCAGTCAGCCATTGTGCTCTCAAAGGACCACCAGTACCATGCTTGAACAAAACACATCGACATTCATTTCCATTTCATTCGCTGGGTCATCAGTGAAGGCTCCCTTTGCCTCGTTTAGTGTCCTACCGAGGATATGGTTGCCAATGCCCTTACCAAGCCTTTGCCTTCAGCCAAGGTGAAGCACTTTGCTGCAGAACTCGGACTCCGTTCCGCTTGAGGGGGAGTGTTGGATTTGCAAGCAGGAGCTCCGTCGTATCCTGTCGGCCGAGCTATATACCCCTTTGTGTTGGGATGGACTTGGTTACCGTTATATACTAACTATGGACTGTCGGACACCCTCACCGCGTTTCTGCTTATCGCTATGCTGTGTGACGTCTACAATTTAGCTAACAGTGTATACTATCAGGTCCTACGAACGAACGCGTGTCACTTTCTTAGAAACCATCGCAAGGAACTTGAATCAAGAAAGAATTTCGAATCATCACACCGTGTCATGATCACGTGTTTCTTTGATCTGGAATTTGAAATGCCAGCCGCCCATTTCTTCCCTCCATCAGCCCCGAATCCCGCACATACATTCTCATACCTATCGTCCAGCCAATGGCACGCATTTACCTGGACTCGGCTAACGAAACGGTGATATCTCAACAACCGGGCTTGGTATCGGAGAAGAAATTAGAATGGAGACTGGCGCCCGCAAACACAAAAGTACTTCGGGTACGCTTTCGTTGTGTTTCATTTTTCCTCTGACGGATATTCTGTTAGCTGCTATCGTCTGACTCAGCGATGCCCGTTGCGCATCGTCGCACTCATTATGGTCAGGATAACAAGCCGAACCTCGTACTCCGAGATGGATATAAGACAAGCACATCGAGAGCAGGCGGTACACTTCCGTGAGTTGTTGAAATTGCTCCTTGTTGACCTTTTCAATCTTATTCACAGTGTTTCGGGAAGCCTCAGTGCGTCGGTATTCTTGGTGAGTGTCATACTGTCGTCTTCTACCCTTTTTCTTACCCATATGGCACCATAGCGCATCGAATTTGGCTATATCAGATGTTTCGCTGACAGCACTTGCACATTTCCGGATCGCTGAGCTTTTCAATGAAACAGGCTGCAATATCCTATACAGTCTTGGTGACTCTTCCGCACGGGCCGTCCTTGTTAGTACCCTTTGATCGTCTTATACATCTCTTCCCTATGAAAACATCAACGTTTCAGAATGCTGGTTATTTCTACTACTGCAGGAACTAAGCAATTGAGCGGCAAGTCAACTTTCACTACGTCTACTGGGGTCGAGCAGCCGACCACCTCCGACCACCTGTGTCTTCGGCGTTTGCGAAACTACAGCTCTTGGAGATCCCTAGAAGCACACAGCTATCAGCTGTCCTTGAAGCCATACTGGTCGAAGCTCCTAAGAGATGTGATCAGGACGATTCTCTCGAAAAGGCATGGGTTTGTCCAGAATTTGTGAGTTATCTTATAGTTTACCATAACCCTCGAATTTTAACATCTTTCCGGAAGATACGACAATTTACTGGGGAAAGACGTGAATTGGATTCATGAACGGCCTCGCTGCTTGATATATCAGGTAGGCTGCCAATGATCCTTCCCTTAATTTGGTTACGAGTCATGTTTCGTCTTCTTAGCATTGACCTTGTGCGCGGTTGACAATGTCGAGTTCGATAACTGTTTTGCTCCACTTGGTCTTTATCATTCTGAGGATGCGCGGCCGTCTCCAACAACGGTATCATCATTATCCCCGCTTATCCGTGGTCGGCGATGCAGAGAAGTGATACCTGCAGAGATAGGCATGTTCCCGGTCACTGTCTGTGGTATCTCTCATTTATTCGACTTGTAGGCTTCAGCGCGGCCTCAACGTCTCCCTAGCCATCCCCTGGCCAGGTGAGGCTTTCTCTCTATTCTCCAGTCGTTGAGATCCTCAGTCTGACTCGCATAAGCCAGGTGGTAGAAGGCAGTCTACTCCTATACGTATCAGCATAACAACCAGCGCTCTTCAGATGCGGCGCAGCAAAACCCTTTTGGCAATAATTTGGGACCGTTATATTTGGACGCGTGGAAACTTCGGCGTTTAAACTGAATTCCCTGCGAATAAAGCACCTCAGCACACTGTCGTCCAACTAGCTGCAGGAACGTTCATACCTGCGATAGTCCTAGCAGCCGCTGTAAACTGAGGTCCGCAATATCTCAAAGGCATTGACTTCAGCGAAATTCTTTGGTACGTTGTTCAGCTATGAGCTGTTGCCTTTTCTCATCTTGCTCTTAGATCTGCATGTGGTTACCCATCGTTCTGCGACCCTTCTGGATCTTCGATAGAGCCCGATATCCGAGGGTCTTGGCATTCTCGTAGGAGCTGTCATTGTTATGGAGAAAGCATCCGTCGAGGGAATCAAAATTCGGATTTCTCCGTGTTCAGATGTGGTCCGTGCGGGAAGGAAGTCGAGACACAGTCAAAGCCTGAACAAGATAACTGTGCTTTTAACCTAGCTAATGCACCTTCGCAGACTGGTCCTCAATGTTTCTTCGCGATTGAAGAGTTAAGGGGTCGCCATGCTGCTTCAATTGGGGAACTCTATCCTCTCACAGTATCGTCGATTTCCGCAGCTTCACTGCACCAGTGTCGACCTACTACTAAAATCCCCGGCTTAGCTAAGACTCAGCTCCACACAAGGACGGTATGCTATCCATTGTCCTTGTTCCTTCGCGTTTCAATGATCTTCCTAAAGTTCCAGATATGATGGTAACTTTTTTGGAAAATTTTTTCTCTCGTGAGGAAACGAGAAGCCTCCTAGGAAAATCCGTACTAGCATACCTGAACATAAGAGTGATATTGTTGGGTCCAGTTGTAAGTCGCCCGTCCAATATATTGTATGTGGCCAGAATACTGGGCTTCGAGGATGCCATGATCCTCGTGCGTACTATGCGAGATTATTTCTTGCGTTTCTCTGATAATGCTATACAGTGTATAGGAGTACAGTTCGCAGTCTGTCTATGAGATCATCGTCGCATCCATGATATCTATTCTATGAACTGCGCTTCTGCGCAACACTGCGCGTGCTATGGCTTCCATACCGAGCTCGGAAGAGCAAGAATGAAAGCAGTACTTCTTTTCTGTGCTTCGGGCACTTGTCCAAGGCAGTGAACACAGCGAAGATAATACCAGGCGGCAGTCCTTGTTTTTTCCAGCGTGTAAGAGGATGTTCTGTACCATCTCGTCATCAGCGGTTAACTTAATATCAGTCTCAAGTATGTTAATTTGACTAGGTGCACATGTACCGAATACCACTTGCAATAACCTTCTCGTCATTGGTTCCTGCGCCTATTCAAAATAAATTTCCGATCATTTCCATCAGATTTGCACAGTAAATCACGAAAACAGACGGCGTCCACCCGTGACGCAAGGGACCCGCCAAACACTGACCAGGATGAGCGCCCAATGGAATGTCGCCAATATTTTTCTCATTGGCAACCGCAATCTCTCCATTGCTGTATGTGCTGCGGACGGTGAAGCTATAAATTCATGAACCTTTCTTCGCCAAAATGTCATTCCAATTCCACTGTCCAGATCTCTGAATATGTTCTATCTTACTTCTCTCGTCTCTGTCGCCCTCCTCATCGCCAACAGCGTCGTCGGGCACCCTGGCGCTGCTCCATCGACCGAAGTCGACCTTGCTCGTCGCGCAGAGCTTGAAACGGCCACCCGCCGCTCCCTCGCAGACTGTCAGAATCATCTCGCTCGACGCGGATACACGGACAGGTCAATTGCTCGTCGCACAGCCCTCGCAGAGGAACTCCGAAAGAAGCATGGGCTTGCCACCCGTTAGTATACCCTTCATTCTATCGACCTATTAATGCCCTGACTGAATCTCTTCATTAGGCTCTCCTTACAAGCGTGCCCTTACTGTCGCTGAGGTCGTGAACACCACCCACCTGTCAAACATAACGGGGCTTACCTCCGACTCGGACCCCTTCACCTCCAACTCGTCGTGTGTACTTACTCCCGAACTCGAGGAGGGACCATACTATGTTCAGGGAGAATACGTCCGCTCGAACATGAGTGAAAACCAGACCGGAGTGCCGGCCTATGTCGATATCGAGTTAATCGACGTCTCCACTTGCGAGCCTATCACCGGCGTCTATCTCGACGTTTGGCATTGTAACGCGACCGGTGTCTATGCAGGAATCGTCGCTGAGGGCAATGGTGATTCCAGTGACGAGAGTAACTGGGTTGGTCATCCATTTACTTTATTTTGCAACCTTTTCCCTAACATTTACTTGTTAGAACACAACTTTCTTACGCGGTATCCAGTCAACGAATGACGAAGGATACGCTCAGTTCGAAACTATATTTCCCGGTATGTTTGTTCTCTGTTGAGTCATCCTTCACCAACTGACGGCTTTCCAAGGACACTACTCTGGGCGGGCCACCCACTTCCATACTATAGTCCATGAAAATGGAACACTTTTCGACAATGGTACCTTCTCATCTGACGGTCAGCAACACATCGGTGAGCCTTGTGATACCGCCTTCTCTTTTATTTGATTGCTAAATCCACCGAAGGCCAAGTCTTTTTCGACCAAGACCTCATCACCGCCGTTGAGGCAACTTCTCCTTATAGCAACAACACCATCGCCATCACAGAAAACGAAGATGACCGCGTATTCATCGCGGGTGTTACGCCTGACAATGGAACCGGTGTCGATCCCATTTTGGAGTATGTCTACCTCGGTGATGACCTCTCTGGCGGTCTCCTTTTGTGAGTGTTTATTATCGTCTTCCGTGTTCGTCGTTGCTAATGCTTTTAATGCAGCTGGGGTCTTATCGGTGTAAATCTTTCAGCTAGCTACGAGTCTTCTCCCGGAGGTTATCTCACTGAAGATGGAGGCATCGTAAATGAAAATGCTACTGCCATTGGCGTCGATGGAGCAGCCCCTAGCGGCGTCAATGGTACCAATACCACCTCTAGCACATGAAGAGTGTACCATGGATGATATTTATTTTCTTGTTTTGCTGTTGTCAAGGACTCTGTTATAGCCATCTTTGACCTCTCCATGTCGCCCGTTTTTTATATCTCAACCTCCACTATTACTTATTTCCTGTGATGTCTGGAACAGAACATGATTATGGTCTCCACATGATTGCGGGGGAGCGAGGAACCGTTATGAAGTCCATCAAAGCTATCTGAGCCTAGAGCCTGTTGTCATCTAACCGCCACAAGTACATCGTATTGCAGCAAGATTGAAGTATTCTTACTCTCGGCCTCGACATTCGAAACTGGGCGTCTATCTTAGAACCAAAAACGCCACCAATGAGCTGGACGACAGCCGCGTTTCGACATTGTATGCATAAATTAGCTGCCATATCTACGCTACGCTCTCTACTCCTTTCTAAACATAGTGGTCAATATAAAATACTTAGTTCCCCCGTCCCTGTCGTTTGGTAGTAGGGAAAAGGCGTTGGTCAACTTCAATTCTGCGTTTAAGGTCTGAAGTGAACTGAATAAATGCCTCTGCGTCAGCGAAGTAATTTTTGCTGTGATGTATTAACTTCACATCTAGCCCGGTGTCTTGTGCTTGGTAGAGGCGCAGAACTTGGGTGTACCAGTCAGAAGTGACGCAATATGGGTCGATAGATAGATCTCTCGACGGAAGTGTCAACGTCAATGACTGTAACCCGAGATTGTGCCGATATAAAATCATGGAGGTGAGGATATCGTCCGGAGATAAGGACATAACCTAGAGGGAGAGGTGCAGAGACAACCGTCGAAGACATGGAAGGGTAAGAGGTTCCTTTAATGTCTCTATCGTTCCTACAAGTGTTACCTCATGATCCGTGATAGACGAGGGCAATAAGGCAATAATGCTGTCTAGACGAGGGGAAAGGAGAGGTTTATACTATATCGCGAAGGATCTAAGATGACTTGGTGAGCATCTCAGAAAGTCGCAAATGAGCATGCCTTCATCCATCTCAGCTCTGACAACGCATACCCGGTGCTCAGTGTGGTCCCAAGAAATGGATAGTTTCCGCAATTTGGGCAAGAGACAATATTTGAGCGTCGGTGGCATATCTAGGCCGAACGAAAGGCTCTGGAGATGCGGCTGAGTTATCACGGGTAAGGGATCCGAGTATCGTTGCGGTTTAAAAATGATATTGTCGAAAGTGAACAACTCCAGATTTATAGCGCGTTTTATACAGTCATGAAAAATGGCTGATCCGGGTGCTGCCCTAGTGCTATAATGAGTTATGAGTCCAACTGTTATGGATATTGGGTATCCGTTGATTCGGTGTATGAGTCAACATAGGGCGAGGAGAATTCTGCGTTTGCGTGCTGCGTGCTTGCGTTTGCTTGCGTTTTGTTTGCGTTCATTTGCGTTTGGGGTGCGTTCATTTGCGTTTTCATCATTGCGTGTATACGGTATCGTGTGCGTGCCATTGTCTACGAATGCGAGTGCTATTTAATGTTCTTGAGTCCTTCGAATATATCTTAATTTTCGGATGAACATAGCATGTCAGAACAATGTTATATATACTTAATAGAGGTAACTCAGTTGTTTCAGACACAACATACATCAAATAAGTTACATACAAGATGCCCCAGATACACAATTAATCGACTGCAGGCCTAACGCAAGTCCCATCCTATGAACGCAATGCATCAACTTCGTGATGGTTGCGTCTGAATCATTAACGCACGTGTTCACTTGATTTACGCATGCGTTCACATGGTAACGCAAGCGTTTTGAACATTCTCGCAAGCGTTTAAATATTCACGCAAACGCACAGGCAGCCCACGCACGTCAAGAGACAAAAACGCATGCGTTACAAGGTTTGAACGCAAGTGTGACATACTCGTCACATTTGCGTTTCATTGGAGTTGAACTTGCCCAACATGCTTTTCGTCCTTCCGCGGCCTCGTATTGATTTATTTCGCATATCTTTTACTATAAAATACCTTAAAATCGTCTAAACTTCCCAATCAATATCCATAATAATGGTTTAACAGTGCCTTCAAGGCATTCCCTTACATACAAGGCTACCACTTCTGTGATAAGAAACAGTACAGTATTCTAGTGTCTACAAGTGAGAATCATTGCTCTCCGATTGTCTGCAGCTTTGCTTAGCAGGTCAGCAATGATTTTCGTTAGTATCAGCTGTACCCGAGTCATCTGATTTGGTAGGTATATCAGCCTCAGCCCGACGCTTTCCGGTACCATTTGACAGCATTCTGGGTCATGGAAGTGTGACTTTTTGCACTTGTTCTCTTTCCTCTCCTTCTCTTGTTCCATCTTATGCCACGGTTCCAGCTCCTCTTTGTCAAAAATCCTTGGAATCGGAATCCGCTTCCAGCAGCCAGGTGCCTATCACATGCCTAATTTTTTTCTGTTAATTAGAAGCATTAGGGAGACATCTTTCAAGTACATCACTGAGACTTACGAGGATACCCATGAAATTTTTGAGGCAAGATCTGTGCAAGAACTCATGGTTCACAAGTGGGTGGAAACTTGAACTAATGTTCACAGCAATTGTGCTAGCAATGCTGTACTAACTACAAGGATTTTATACTACCAGAATTCCGAGTCCTATGAATATAGGATATCTTGGTCTTTATGCGGGTGGGAATGACCCATGGGAAATTCTATTCGTGGAATCAATTGATGGCAGCCTTTGCCAACTGCCCAACTGGATCACCCCGTGGGAGTTTTTCTATTCATGCATGGCCTTTGCCGATTAAACTTCCTTCCGGCAACTGTTTCGTTGTCCTTGCTTGTTGTCTCTTCACATGCTACCTCTCCAACTCTCTGCAACTTTTCCAGTGTCCCTTTCCGGTCCACCTGAAGGCTCATTGTTGTCCATCTCCCCCATCCAGCATGCCAGCAGTGACAACTGTCAGTGCAAACTTGGACTAGATCATCTTTGACCTCAATGGTCATGGCAAATATTTGTTTGATGCTGGCTTTTCTCGCTGGATTAAACTTTTACATTCCACAGGTTTTTATTCTGGTCAACCAAGTCTCAGCCTCAAGAATCAACTTGCACACACCTTGAAGGGACAGGACTACTCACCAATGCCAACAACTCAAGACTACTGACAAAGTCAAACAGGCTTAGGAGTGCCTTGCAATGCTGAGTTAAATGTGGGTATCATTTTCCTGTCAGTGCCTTCCAGGCCTTATTGACCAAAATCAGCTGATGTGGAGCATTCAAATACTTGTTTTCCGCCAAAGGTACATCCTCTCTATTTCCCCCCAACTCCATGTGCTAACCATAGCTGAAAGGAGCGCATTTAATCTCTCTGGAGATAGCTACCACAAGCTTCAGATGGCTTTTGAAGGTGGTTTATGTTTCTGTTATGCCCACTTTCTTACTGATCTGTTTCAGAGAGCAAGCGGATGTCACATTCCATCTTGGTGTTGATCACAGCGCCATCATGTTCAAATCTGGCCTTGTTGGGGAAGCTAGCTATGCGTTCATACGACAGACCCATGCTTGCTCTTTCACTTTTCGAGGGAACATGGGGCGCTGACTTCGATGGTTGTTGGATGAGATCCCATTCGCAAATGCATCAGGCCATGTTGCTATGAAGAAGGTTTCTGGCTTTCCTGTGTTGCAGCAGCTTTCTTGCTAACTTATCTCTTATCTAGATTGTATCATTCAGGATATCATTCGTGTCTCTGGGTGTATCTCCCCCTGCTGTGGTCGGCTGCTCTCCTAGATTGACACATGCATGCCAGATGTCACTTCCTTGACACCCTCTATTTCTCTGGAAGATGCCATAACCTCTGTTGATTTGGCACCTTTAACTGATTTCCACCAATTCTTGAGTAACCTAGTCAAAGACAACAACACCATCACCCCCAAATTGAGGACAAAGAAACCGGGCCTGGTATGAGGCATTTGTTGATGCCTTCATTGGCAGTGTCATCCCCATGACAGATTTCGTTTCCCGCAGGCTGGTCAGATCCCATGGCTGGGTAAGGGTACTATCATTTTCTTGCCATATTCGCACCGAATAAGCAGGGACAGCTGGATTGAAAAATGCTCTACCTGACTTTGTTTTGGGCCAATACGTTATCAACAATCACGCTGGAAGCCTGGAATTTGGTCTCATCCATACTCTATGAGTGCATCCCCCCATTCCCTCTACTACACATATTCTATATACTAATATTGTCTGTTGTAGCACTTCCAATCCTCTTCATTACTCCTCTCCCACCACCCTCAATGAAATCCATGACATTGGTGAAGTCTGGTCTAAAATATTGCTCAATGTTTACATGGTGCTCATTTCTGAACATTGATGGCCAGTCACTGCCAAGACGGATCCCACTGGCACAGCCAGGGAGTGTTGTTTGCCTTAAATGTATGGGATGAGTCCGTACCCAATGCATGTTCCCTGAATGCCCTTGGCATTGTGTAGAGAGATACATGGCCATATATGCACCTATCGGCATTGCTCTGGGAGTAGGATAAGTCTCTGATTCTCTATCTGTGATGCGAGGGAAAAGTTGAGGGTAAGCGTAGTGCCTGAGCCATACAGAGCCGAGTTTGTGGCATGGGGTGCCTCCACGTGGGGAGCCTATGATGTCGTATGTGCCACCATTGCTTGTGTGCCATTGGGGAGAGGAGAAACGAGCATTATGATGTAGGCCCTTGTTCTTGCTTGTTCATGTTGTCATCCCTGGTAGATTTACCTTTGTGCAAAAAATTCGTTCGGGTCCTGTTTTAAAAAAATACAATTACCTGGCATAACCTAATAGTGGAACTCGGAGAGAGGTAATGTGTTTAATGAATGTGACATGGCTTCACAGGGCCCGACTAAACTGTGCTTCTATTACTGAATGACTATCCAGATGGGAGTGACAAGAATAGGACTCAGTTTTGCCACCGTATGAGCTGGCCCTCACCCGCTAGTACATAGAATGTACTAGAATGTATGACGGTATCACTGATAAAATGAGTGCATCTGGGGAATATGGGGAGAATGAGCGAGAATATTCAAGCAAGCTCCGACATCTAAAAATAGTGATCCGTATTCTAACAAGATCTCGAATTGATGGGCTCCCGTCGCGGCATGAGGGATTGGGTTGTGTCACGCCACGACGCGTCTGCAGGTGAAACGCAAGGATGTCACGCACGCAAACGCAAACGCATTTCAACTAACGCAACTGCCTTTTTAGGAAACACATGCGTTCGAACGCAAAAGCAAACGCAGGAGCGATAACGCAAGGCAACGCATCCACGCATGTGGATAATGCAGAATTCACCGTGCCCGTCAACATATGCCCGTACTCGGTCTTCTCGGTCTTAATACTGACTCACTCGTACTTTCTGTTACTTTCTCTATTCTTCGTATTGATACTAGAATATTATGGAACATTGTAGAATAATAATGACTCAAACCTTTCCTTAGTATATAATCTCGTAGGTAACATTGTATTAGAAAGCTTTTATCAATCTACCACTTTCAGGACACCTTCACTGCGTGAACCCTCAGTTACGCCTAGCACTTGCTGAACAACTCGTTGGATACGCCTAGCGCCTTCTGACACCAACCCGAAGGTTACGCCTAGCGCTTGCCTTCACCCACGGCCCATAATAGCTTCGCGCTTACAGGCCTTCTATATCGGTAATTGCTCCACGCTTACCGGCTACTTCCCTCAGTAATTGCTTCGTGCTTACTGATTTCCTTTATTTCGCAAACCGGACCACTCAGGTCTCCTCACGAACCCTCGCCGGAATCCATTATATTCCCTAACGACGTACATCATTTCTAATTATTCTCACCTCACTTCGATTACCACTCCTCGCCTCGTGCTCGCATCTCCGGATTTCGGCAGATCCATAACACCAACATGTAGGGACGTGAGTTGACGAAGTGGGAGCGCCAACTCATGGAAGTAATGGCTAAAGATTTTGGCCTTGCGTAGCAAGGGGGCGGAGCGGAAGAGTTGCGATAAGGCTTCATCGGTTTCTTTGGTGCGCATTTCCACCCATGGAGGAGGAAGAATTATATCCAGGCTTTCCAGTGTCCGGAGACACCCTGCTATGCTTGAGAGACTCTGTATATTCGATTCCAAGATGCGCAGACGGAGTGATTTCCAGCGTGTTGACGTGGGAGCAACGTATTTCGTTATCAGTGCCTCTTCCGGTGGTTCTATGTCTTCGACTCTCAACGTCAGATCCAAGGGACAGTTTTTCGAAAGGGATAAAGCTGTGCAAACGAGGTGCTCATCTTGTGGAGTGTATACCTTGGCTGTCTCAGAATTCTTACTAGATATATGAATTTCCAGGCCGGACCAAAGGGACGGTGATGATAAAGTCAGATTTCTCCACCAGTAACAGACACTGCGGAGGATGCATGGAGGTTCCGATAAGCGGATTTTTGCCTGATGCGCTGCGAGACAGAATATACTCAGCAGGACATCAGAAGGTAAGCGCCGGATGGGGGAGAAAATGGACTCGTGACGATCCAGATTCTCTTTGGCTTGAACACGTTGTAATTTTAGCCCATGGAGGAGGGAGTCGAGATGAAAAAGTGAATCGAGCTTAGTAATCTCTTCGTCTCTTGACTTGATTTCGGCCTTCAGAGAGTGGATCTTGGCACGGGTGAAAAGAACGGTAGATGGATGGAGATCTCCAGCTGCGATGCCAGCACGGAGAAGGGGAAGGATGTCAGGGCCCATTTTTTGGTAAACCACGTCCTGAAAGGGTTTCTTCTAGGGGTACGAATTAATTAGGAAATATGGAGCAGTAAGTACGGAGTACCTCGTTTCTGTCGGTTCTTCTCTTGTATTTGGACCTGGTAGGTAAGTACGGTGAGAGTAGAATTGATGAATATAGTCGAGGGGAAGATTGGTGACAAAGTGAAACGTCTCTGCTGCTACTTCGGGCCGGAGAGTCGGAGACGCATGTCTCATCCATGTGTACGGTTATGACTTACAGACTCGTCCAGAGTCAATTCAAGAAACACCTACTTACTGAACGGAAAGTGTCCATCATTCTGGACAGATATTCGACAAGGGTTCTTTTTTCTCCGTCACCATCTAGGCACGACTCTCATGTCGACAGCGATTTTTTTCGTTGATCTGACATAGTATTTTTGTGTGGGCACTGGTATAGGCATGGTACTCGGGTTCCCCGATTCTTTCCGAACGAAGAGAGGAATAGAGAGGGTGTTTATCAGGGTCTAAGCGACCGATCAACCACCATAGAGCGTGGGCAGGGGCTATTTGTGAGTATTTTATTTTGCGTACTAAATCTTTAGAGACTAACATTTCCCGTAGCTTTTCGGAATGTTGTCTGTGACCACATTGGTTTGCGGGCACTTTGAGATGTCTTCGCCGCTTATGATGTGGATTGGTTAAAAAAGGACGGTTTAAAGTGTCCCACCCCCCTCCCCCCCACCATTCCGGAACTTTGAGCGCTTTTAGTGTTCCCTGTTTCTTACTTTCTTACTGCAAATGTGGCCTTCGAACTAGAAGTGATGAACCAGAATACAGTGGACATTTTGAAGTGCGACGCTGGAAGACCGGCCATCCTCCATGTCCAATTAGGTGTGACCGTGTGCTGACTGAGGCAGTACTCCTTCCAGTAACAGCTCGTCCGACTTCCCAAGTCAGCCCATCCTCCTGTTTTAAATTACGTTGCGAACTGAACAATATATTCAGAAACATCATACTCGGAAAACTGGAACAATCTGTAACGATGGTCGGAGCTGGTGAACTGCAATTCCAATCCACGATATACACTATTTCACATGTCAAGGACTTTCTCTAGGGATTCGGGCTCCAAGCTCAGAAACGATGTCTGCCTACAATCCGCTGTTTACTCCTATTCAAGACACCAACTTTTCGTCGGAAAATGTTGTCAACCTGCTATTACCTTTCATCTCAAGAACAACCGAGTTTCATCAATCATTTGGCTAGATACCAACCAGAACATGCTGTCACCCGTTCGATGTCTCAACCAGGTCATCTTGTCGACATCGGAATCCGCTTCCAACTTATCCAGTGAGACCTCAGTCACTATAATATATTTCCCTGATTCGTTTCCATCAGTAGCCAGCGATGCCAATGAAGTGCGTAATTACGACAGACAGTTCGCTAACTGACTGATCTCGTAAAAGAAATGGCTCGTCTGTAATACTTATAGCTGGAAGCATGAAATTCCGCTCGCACACTTGGACCCAGCTCGGTTCATAACCAGGAACAGAGATGCTGTACTCATGAGAATAAATGGTTATAAGCTCATTGTTCAGTGATCCTTTATGTGTTAATAAACATGGTCCACTGTTCATGTGATTAACTGTTTTCCATAACATTGCGAAGACCTTCTCGAGACAAGATACCGACAATTTCATCACACTGGACGAACACAAGCCACGACATTGTTTTGAGGTTGCCAAAATGACATGCTGCGGTACGGGCACTGTTATAAACAAAATGGTTGAGAACAATGGTGTCACGATGTTCTGGTCTCTGACGTTGGTAAGTGGTCGGTACATTTCACGGTCGTCTTCTGAGTTCAATCCTGACGGCGGCATGACATCCGAGTGAGGCCATTGCACCACATTTCCAATGAGCCTTTCTGATCATCTCTCCAACCTCTCATCGACATCTGCCTAGAATTGCGGTGTATTCGTATTAACTGCAAAAGATGCCGTGGGAAAGCAGCATTTGCCGAAGAAAAGGGAAGAATCGGGGACCGGCGCGAAGTCGCCGCTACAGCGATATTTGTGGGGCTCTAGAGGAACAAGCTGTGAGGCGGCTCCATGGTCTGTGTTGATGGCAGTGCAATTGCAACGACAGCTATCCTTGGCAAATCCTTGGACCAAATTAATTCGGGCCGAACATCCGAAGAGTCTACAGCCTCCAAATACCGCCATCATCATCATCACTCGGCACGGTACCACTTGGGCATGATAGTAGCGACAACGTCAAGTGCACTGAGCTCTCTGCTATCACCTTGTTATAGGCTTTCTATTCTCGTCGGCAACCCAGATACTGGCGATCTCATTGAATCGGGAGGATAGCATGGCGCCATTACAAGAGTCGCTTCCGCCAAGTATTTATAGAAAGCTGTATGCCATTCAGTTTTCAGCGCTCGTTGCGTATCGCTGTTGTACTATTACACCTGTCCTATGATCGGATCTATTTAGTTGTGAACTGCTGTTATTACGTTCTACAGACCACAATAAAGAGATGCCTCGGTAGGACCGCTGGGATCTGGCGCTCCCTCACGCACTGTATCCAAGATACGACTCCCTAACTGCCACAGAGACGACTAGTCACTTGAAATCAAGATTATTCAGCCGAATGCAAAACGCTACCATGAACACGACTTTCTACACTGGAATAACCTTCTTCGTAAGTGCCCTGTTCTCTGGTTCCGTCTCTCGAAGTTGACTAACTCGACCACCTGTCTTAACAGACTTTTGGACAATGGTTTCTGCAACCAAAGACGGGTGGTGATTTCATGACACTCCCGGTGGTTGATGATGTTGTGAGTGACCACTTAGTGGTTTCCGACCAAAAAGACGTTGACACCGGGGAGTAGAAGTCGTCTTCAGAAAAGGACAATCCTATGCCGGACCAGCTCGAGAAGCAGCTGGTTCCTCAGACAGAGTACCAGATCGAGAAAAGAACAATGCCGGACCTTGATAACAAGGCGCCGTCAACTATGGAAATGTACAAAGGAGAGGGCGTTTCCTTAAAAACATATCAATACCTCTTCAACAAAATTCTCTGCCACATCATGCGTAGGTTCCAGTATACATATAACCCGATCCCGCCACCTCTTGTGAAAGACATCAGCTCCTTCGATACCAAGGTAAACGAATCATTTACTGTGCTAGTCAAATACTGATTTATGCATTTGTAGCCACCACCGCATATAGAAGGTTCCAAGTTCTGGGCCGTGATAATTGGCATTGATGCGTATAAACCATATACGTTACGTGGCTGCGTATCAGATGCATTATTAGTTGAGAGATATTTGAAGGAGGACCTTGGCGTACCTCAAGAACGAATCCAGCTACTTCTCGGCTCACAACACGCTTCATCGGAAGATCCATCCTTCCCCTCCCGTGCCAATATCATCAGCACGCTTCTAAGCCTCATCGATAACCCTCAAATCGAATTTAGTGACAATATCATCATCTACTTTTCTGGGCACGGCTCGAGTTATTCCCCAAGCGACTATTACTATTCAGCTGGGGACTACGAGTTTCCTGGTTCAGTGGACGAATCCATCGAGGTCATATGCCCCATCGATCGAGATACCGTCGACGCCAGCGGGTTACGAGTTCCCGACATCAGCGACCGAGAGATCAATGCCATCTTTCAGCAGATCTCTCGCAGCAAGGGTCACCACATCACGTTCATCCTTGATGCCTGCCATTCCGGCGCTCATATCCGAACTTTTCCGGATCCCAGGGAGCGTACTATCCCTTCGTTGCCGTACGCCTCTCTCAGGCGTATGCTCCACATGGCGGACGAGAGCCTTGGTCGGTATCCATCTCACCAATCGATTTTGGCGGCAGATTGGCGCCCGGATATGTCTTCTCATGTTATTCTCGCTGCGTGCAAGGCATACCAGACCGCGAAAGAAGTGGAGGGCGAGATGGGGTACAATGGGGTATTCACTCAGGCGCTCCTTGGTTCCCTGCAGTCGGGAAAACTGACTGAGGAGTCGACGTATATTGATCTCCTCGAGTCACTTCCACTATTACACAGACAGGCTCCTGTTGTTGCTGGGAAACATAAGCGTGACCGCCTCTGGTACAAGGAATAGGCAGGAGGAGTGTATCGTGTGGTATTCTTCTCATCGCAAGTCCAGTTTCTCATCCGTGGTATGTTACGTACGATCTCGGTATTTTCCCCTTTGATACATGCCTTCCTGTCATACATCGTTAGAAAGCTTACTAGAGCATATGGTATTCACATACTTGCGTTCTCGATACATTCTGAGGTGGTGAAGCATGCGAAATGTATACTAGGCCGGGCTGGATGTTACACCGAGTTCGACGTCGAACGAAGGCAATACAAGCGCTCATTTCGAACCTTGGTTCCCGCACGCAGGAGGCTGTGTTCTTTTCGTAGGAGCGTTCTCGTGCGGTAGCTCCGTGAGATAGTCGACTCCGCCATCATCAGCTGTTAATGCATCGTGTGGAACGACGCCAACAAGCACTGTCTTTGCCGATTCGCAGCGTCTCTCTTCGCATGGCGATAGCATCCATAGAGCCGTAGGCCCCGCACCTCTGAAGTGCTCTCAAACGCCACCTGAAGAGGCCCCCAGCCATCCGCAATCGAGCGTATGGCTACGTCAGGAGCAGTTATCAACCCGTGGCTGCTTCTTAGGACGATGTATGATGGACGGTGCTAGAGATAACGCCCTCATCGTCACTGCAGTCTGGACTGAAGGAGGCGGATCCGGGGTTCTGTACGTTCTTCGTAAGTTGGTGAACGACGCCGGGCATGGACTTGGGGTCGCCTCCATGTTTCGTTCAAAGATAACATTGACGAGGTGGGAGCAGGAGGGAGAAGCTGTCGTGCTGTGACGCACACGTCGAGCAACAGATGCAATGGCTGGATGGTAGTCGCCGATGCGGAACAGAGATGAGAGTAGCCAAGGTAACTGTGTTGTCACTGAATACAAAGGATACATTTCACTACGCAATACACCGAAGGATTCTAGAGGATATAATATCAGAGATAATGGAGCCGAAAGAGAAGAACTCCACTAACCGTCCTCGTTCTTCCAAAATGACATCACGCCGAGCCTCTGCAACACTCCTTCAATTTTCCGTTTCATAGAGCGTTAGACGTCGTCGTGTGCCGGTTAGGTTTGCGTGGCGGAAACGAAGTAAAGCACCCATAAGATGACTATCAGGATGGCTTTTCGAAGTGGTGCGAGGAAATTACGCTGCACAGGACTACGCGGAGGAACAGAAGGTTACACTTCATGCAGACCTGAGCATCAATGAGCAACGAGGAAGCGAGGTGGGAAAGAAGCATTTACCATTATCAACACGAACCTTCCGAGAACGTATCCTTGGCCAATGCTGGCATCGCTTGCCTTATATCGAGAAGGTGGCGGATGGCGAGCTTCAGGCTACAAATGACACGGTAGGGGAATTTCATGCCGAACCGCTGAAATCGACGAAGAAACTTTAGGCGATCACTGGTCGCAACGCTGTAGCCAGAATATCACATTGAGCCGGAGTACCTAACACAAAGGTTCGTCATCAGGTTACGACTGAGAGCGTGTCCATCGTACATACCACGAGAGCCTTCTGAAAATCAGTATCTTACTGAGGCATATCCCCCCAGAGGCCCAGAAGATCTTAATTTCCTGGATGTATGCGCATCTCGGACGACGTCTGTTTTCTCACTGAGCGATAACCGCATACAACAAGAAAGAAACGCGCTGTTCTAATGAACGCGTCGAAAGACGAGAGCATGGCTATTTCAGAAAAGATGACGGTTTGAGAATGCCTAAATTTTATCCATGTGAGTAAAACGGCATTGGCGAGATGACACAGGAGCATTAACGCACCTCCACAAGAGCAAAAATTGCCGCTTATCCCATCCAGGTATCTCGAAGCTCCGTCCAACTCCAAAGGCATATTTTCTTTGGGTGCAAAGAGAGTCCACGGCTCGTCCAAAGTTCCGTTGTCATCCTCAAGAGTAAAACGAGGTCGCGGCGATTGGAGCTATAATAACTCGCATTCAGCAAAACGAACCTCGTCAATCACAGAAAGAAGTACCGATGTCATCCTCCACGGCAACGGCATGCATGCAGAAAAATATAAAGGTGTCTGTCACGGACAGAACGTCGACAGCGTGGCTAGCAGGTTGTATCGGAATGAAGACGGTCGCATGGACGTGGTGGTATTGGTATGAACGTACGATGTCGGAGTCTGAATCTGTGCCCAACCAGCCGGGTTTTCGTCACGTGATATGCCGAACTTGACCAATACTTAACTGTCAGTGGTCACCCATCATCTCCCTAAACAATAATTCCATGAAGCACCTTTAATCACAAAGTATCACAGTTTGGTACTCCGAACGACAGCCCTCTCATGGAACTGCCTTTAAAGAACAGCATCTGAAAACTCCGGCAGAACTGGTAGGCCATGCTGCAGCATATGATTATGGACCTCACGTTTCGGGCGATGAAAAAGAAGCGGTGCCCACCATAGCTTATTGTCGTAGATAGTTGGTGCCTGCCGTAGGAGAGTAGGGAAGAGTCGGGTAATTGTTCAATCTCCGGACCGTGCCACTAACCAGGGTCACCTTCCGCCATCCATAATCGCCTGGTTTTTCACTCATCTGCTCTGTGTATCTTCACAAAAGGTAAGCTCTGCTCATCGGTTGTCCATACCTATCTAATATTCGCGAACAAAGAGCAGATGGACCCGACTTTCGTCCTTCCGCTAGAAATCATCCACAAGATCTTCCATCATTATCTCAAAGACTGCAAATATCCCGTGCAATCACTCGATTTCTCCGATGGGCCTTGGGTCCTAGAGAAAGTCAGCAGCGCTTGGAGGAACGCCGCTTTGATATCACAGTCGCTTTGGTCGAGCATAAACATCATCATAATAGAACCGGAAGATCCCTTGCACAACGCCGACTTGGAATCCACCCGACTCGGCAGCGGTATGCCTCGGTCTGATGGGGAGATCCTTCCTCCTACCGGAGAAGCTTCATCTGATGATGGAGAGGAGGACAAGGAGGACCCCCTCTTTGTCGTACTCAATGACACAACGAACCGCATTGTTACGGAAATACTTCATCGCTCCGGAAATTCCCCCTTGGACGTGACCATATTATTCCCAATAATACTAGGAACTGTTCCACAAAGCTGGATACAATTCTTCTCCCTTATTCCCACATCCTCCTTTCGCTGGAAAGCGCTCGACCTCGAGGCTCCCGATGAATTGTGGGAACATTTCGTCGGGGCTGCATCTGTTCCTGCCAGCTATCCAACACTACGTGATATGAGGGCGTTACTGGAGAGACAGTCTGCTATCCTCACACGCATTGTTCGTGTTTGCTCTAATGTGGAAGGATTGGAACTTTGGCATCACATTGTCGCTAGTGGCGTCGATGTTACCGAAGATGCTAATGTCATGCTATCGCTGAAAAGAGCTCGAAAATAATCTTCCTCATATACTCGATGGCATTAACGCGCCGGCTCTTGAATACTTATCACTACGTATAAACATTCCTGGACCAGAATTATCGTTCAGCACCTTCGTCGTTGCATTTCTCATACGCTCCCAATGTACCCAGCTTACTGGTCTCGCCTTGGACCTTTGGTCGGGGACATGTGAGGAAACTGTGGACATCCTATCTCACATACCGACACTCAAAAGCCTGTCGATCCATTTTCAATTCAAAGAAGCTTTCTTCATTACGATGAAGTCTACGCCATCTTTCCTTCCACAGCTGAAAATGCTATATCTCCGTGGTAGTAGTTGTGACGATACATGGGATCCTGATGTCGTCCTTGACATGGTCGAGTCGAGGCTCCGAAGCGCGTTACAATCCGTCGATATCACACTCCTATCCATTGAAAGGGAAAACATGTCGCAGCCCCGACTGGACGCTCTAAATGCGATGCCCAGTGTTAATATCAGGTTCCAGGATATATTCTGAATTATAGTGGCGGATTCATGGGGTGTCTTTATTCATTGTAATCAGTACGTGAATGAAGACACTGTCGGCAATCAACTTTGTACGCTTATTCTTAAGCAGAGTCTTGATTAGCTGAAAATGTCCGGGCACTTACGAGCCTAATTGTACATTTTAAACAGTGAAAGGACTGTAGGGTATATTTCAACGGGATTGAAGAAATGACTCATTCTTCAGGAATCAAGCCACGATGAAGGTACCCTTGACTGGGACTTCTGCAGGAGATCAATAAACTGAATTTTCTGTCCGAACTTACGATGTCCAATTTGCCTGATCCTAATATCATATCTCTGATAGGCATCCTTCTTGAAATGCATTTAACCGCATGAATTCACCAACGCATCAAGTTCTTGTTCTCTAAAGACGCATATCTAACAAATCAACCATATCACTTCTTACAGAATAATGGAAATCATACGCGATATATCGCGCTCATATTAGTGATCTCTTCCTCGCATCCAGATACAGTTAATGCTCCCAAACGACAGTGGCCTTTGGTGAGAAAGTAAATGTCTCCCTTGGCGTTTACACACCCCCGTTCGAGTGTTGCGTTTACTTGAATGTGAGTACTATCAGAGTTATGTATATGCCTTATTTAACTATATGTCCAACGAGTGCGATAAAGCGCTAAGAGTCACTAAAAATGTCTATTGTGGGTATCATCGTAGTCATAATGTTTTGTCGCAAAAAGAAAACGAAAGCCAAAACAATCCTTGGTAAAGTAAGGCATATCCAAGGGTCATGTGAACCAGTCATCCAGGCGCTCACTTCCGAACACCCCCTGAAGGAGCGGGGGCTGGCTTCGGCTTAGGCGCTGGTAGGCTGCCAGTTGTGGGCCCTGTAACACGGCCTCTTGGTTTTTGGTCCCTTCAGCCAATATTAATGAAACTTTCAGTTCAAGAGATACTGAAACTCACGTGTCATCATCTTCCTCTTTGTCCTTGTCAGATTCAACATGCCCCAAGGTACAGTCAAGTTTTCGGATGGACTGAATAAACTTGAGGAACCTAGAGTCGTCGTCAAGACCACCGTAACGTATCACGGAAAGATGTACTCACAAGCGGAATCTGCCTCCATTCTTCTTCCTCCCTTCCCTCGACTCAACGAGTGGCTTTGCACGCGAGATATGAGTGGGAGGCGCCTCGGTTGTATTGTTTTCACTCATGGCGACATCACAGGTATTTTCATTGGTATCCGTGACCGATTCCCTGAGAACGAATCAACACGAGCACGAACGAGGACCCTAGGTGGGACTAACATTTTGGATCCTTCTTCAATGAGAGTTGTGGTGAGTGGGGGACTTGTCACAAGTACAAATGTATAGAGGTTTTTATCAATGCGGTATATAACAGCTTGATAACAGCGACTCTCGCATAGCTTTTTATTGATACTCACGACAGCATATTCTACAGCGCGGTAAAGCACAACGAGCAGCAGCTAGCAGGTGCTGATGGTCAAAGCTGTCAAGCGCCGTCCCAGCGCTTGTGCACACAGGAGCAGTTTATTCCGTTAGGTTTAGGCGTAGAAGTCAGGCATTCTAGGCCAGTCAACATTATTCATCAAATGCGCAAGGTACCCGTCCGTAAAATGGGGAAAAGAGGTTTACTATGGTGCGATACAAGTTCAAACAGTTATCGGTCCGCCGCTCTCCGCCGGGTCGACTCGGTACTCACGTGATTGCAACAACAGGAACTTGTCCGGGTACAGCCATTCGCATTCGAACGCACATAAAATATTTAGAAAACAAGGCTATTACGCTGTAAATGTAGGTGATCATCGTTCTTCACGGTTATACTATTCATCAATTCTAGTAGGACAGCATCTGCTGATGAGAGAATTGCCGCTTGTCACCAACTTATCACTGTCAGCAGCAACTCAAACGCTTGGCCTAAGAAAATCTTCATCGTCGCCTTCTTCCTTTTGGTCTCACTCCCTTCGATTCAAAGCGTGAGCTTCATACTTGAAGCTCGGATCTTGAAGTCCCGGCGTGCACTGCAATGACTGCTGTATGAGTGCTATTATGACTGGAAAAAAAGATCTACGACGTGGCAGTTCTCTCCGTTCTACGCAGCCTTCATGGCTACAGCTAACGTCGATACAGCAATTTTATTGGATGCTCTGGTCTACTCATGGGCGGTGGAGACCATGACATCTCTTAGATGTCTGTGATGAGTGCGGTATTGTCGATTCCGTGCAATATCTGACACGTCTCTACTCTACCAGGGAAGTGTCGTAAGGAGCTTTACTATACGCTGTTGGAAGGAGTTGTTGAGGCTGTTGAATGCAGCACAGAGTTCGTCCAGTCTTCTTTTTTCAAGGCATGACACAGCAAAATTTCTTTAGGTGTTGTGAGCACACTGCCTTGTCTATCGTAGAATGGACAGTTTTGCGACTCTAAGAAGAACTCGTAGGGCTCGCTTCCTTGAAAAGCAGTTCCTCGGTGATCGCCCAAACGCCGCACACTGTTTCTTCACCCGCCTCCACGACCATCATTCGGGAACTTCTGCTCCACTGAAGTGCGCACTTCTTCCTTGTCTGCGGCAGAATATACGGAACACGTCTTGCGCTGTCTATAGCATTATTCGTCAAGGCTAGAGGTCTTTTACGCTATTTTCTGTTGTAAAGCTTGCCATCTAGCCCCTTCCGTCGCAGAATTGGTAAAGTGATGCTTCGCGACCTTCTATATACTTACTTTTGGCTGCCATGTCTGTACGTCTTTTACGTAGGCGCTACTCGTGACGAATGGACGCCGCCACTCAGCGCATCACGACCTCCCGTCCCCCACATGTTGATCTAGAAGCCGATACAGGTCTCGTACCGAAGACAACTACAAGCTCCGAAATGTCTCTGGAAGGTGATACAGCACCCTTCATATTTGACAACTGATATGTACGATACCTTCAGCATAAATTCGGTCAAGATTGTGTATTGGCATATTAATCGAAACAAATTTACGGCGTATTTCCCTCGGTCGCAGTACAAATTCCTGGAAAGAATGTTTGTTTGTTGTTGAGGTATGAGCGCTCGCTATGGGCGTAGAATGCACCTCGCATACCATCATCTTCGAGTCCCGTTCTCTAAAGAAAAACGCTGCCGAAGAACGTACTTGTACAGCCCCCGTGCCTTGGGGACACACGGGAGCATGACGTCGATCAGTCGAAGCTTGGATAGGTTTGCTGCGGAGAGGAATTAACGAGGTTCTGGCGTTTCTGCGCGATTAGACATCTTCGCTGCAGAGGGTGGGTCCATGAGGACAAAAGAGTCCTGTTCTTCCCGCAAGCGGTCTCACTGTTCCGGTCCCGCGATGACACACAGCTTCTTTGGAATCATGATCCTGTAGAGGGTCATAGTGCACTCGGAAGCGAACCTGCTCTCCTATGGTCAGTTACCTTTGACGTGTGTACATCGCTCAGTGAATTTCGCTCTTATACCCCAGAGATCTCCATTTCAGTCAATCTGTCTGCTTCTGTCGCTCAATCACCACACAGCCGTATGTTAGAAGAGAAGTTGAACACAGCCTTAGTGACGGGCATACTTCTATTGAACCTACGGGATGTCATAAAATTCAACGTGAAGGACTAACCTACCCTGGCCACCGTTTCTTCCCCCTCATCCACCATGTCCGACTCAGAGGCCAAAAGGTACATCGTCGCTACTGACGGGAACACTCGCGTCTTTGTCAATAGATCGGAAGTATTACAGTACGAGGTACGGAATGAATGCCCAGGAAAGATTCCCCAACTGATGTGCTGCGTGCAGGAGTTTGTCACCGTTACTCGGCAATATTTCTTCCCAGGATCGGACTCCTTGAAATTGGTTTTACAAACTAACGAGCTGGACATATGTGCCGGACACTACGTCGACATTCCACCAAATTTATGGCACGAGATGAGCGCATTTGTCTCTAATATCCGGGTCGTCAGTCGTGAGTTATAGCCTGCCATTTCTACCTGTTATTATGCTAATTGGCGATCAGGGCATGCTCGAGCAACGTCTCCATTGATGGCAATTTGTGTAAAGACTATTGCTGGGAAACAAATACCGCTATCTCTCCCTGAGTCTGCATTTGTATCCGACCTGGCAGCGCTGGTCCATGAATCGGAGGGACATCCACCAGAGGAGCAGCATCTCATCTATGGAGGGCGATGGTTGGCGTTCGAAGATCGGCTTTCTGCGTACGATATTCGTGATGGAGCGACAATTCATCTCCTTATACGAGGCAAAGGGCGCATGTAAGGGAGATCGGAGGTTGTATTCAGGACATGGTAGAACTTTTTTTTAGCGGACCTTACTTTTTCTAAGGGACAGGCAAAGAACGAGTTCCGCGGGAGTATTAGAGAGTGAATATCTTCACGAGTTTGATTTTGTAATACGATGGAATAGTTTACGGACGACTGGACTAATACCTACGAAACGCTATTTCTAATAACTAGATACCCTAATCGTGTACTCTGGGGCAAAATATTTATTTCGAACATTTCTTGAAGTTGCTCTTTGGTGATTTCATTGGAACCAGATCTACGGATATCAACCACCAGACCTATTGCTAGAGGTTGCAGCCAAGAGATCGAATGTCCTCTCTCATACCTATCTACAATGGCAGCATCTAAGGCTTTTAATTCTTTCACTACCTTTCCTTGAGTCGAGTACACAATATTCAGGGACGCATCAGTTGGCCAGAGATCCACTATGCGACTCAAAAGCTCAATCGGCATCGCGGAATTCTGCCAAAGGTCCAAAGTCACATTGGATAGCGCCGAGTGCCGGATGAGACTTGTAAGGGATACTTGGGCGAGCTGGTTACCCGGGGCTGTTCTCCGTGTATGAGATGCGGATCACAAATTAAATGGGTTTAAAACTTGTTTTACGAAAGTCTAATTGCCGCGAGCGCACAGAGTAAGGGCTTACCGCATACGGTACTCGTGCAATAATCACTCGCACTCGGGCCCCGCAGCTGATTTCAGGACGGGGTCGCGTCTCGGCTAACTTCGTGTGAACTGAGACCCTGCATTCACGCGGACGAGCAAGGCAATTAGTAAATTAACACTCACTGTATCTGCCGAATGCCTCGCAGATGATTCGCAATTCCTTGAGCCTGCTTCGAGGTTCACCGATGGGCCGGAAAAGATTATCCCTGAGAAGAATCGCAAGCTCATGCTTTATACCGACGCTGAGGACAGAGTTCACGGTCGGCTTCATGACAGCCATGAGCCTCTGTAGATTAGAGACTGAAAACTTAATATTAGAGGATTTCCGGATCATCCTAAGAAAATTGGCGAAATAAGCATCGTAAAAATCTGAGATGGAAAGCTCTTTGAGATCATGGGATCTTCTTTCTGTGGGGGATGTTATCTCAGAGGGAGGTTCGACCGCGGTAGTAAGAAGAATATCTGAAAGAGTAAGGATGTCTAGCTTCGAGCAGGAGCGTATGATCTGGTATAAGGCATCTTGAGGCATAGATACCTTCGAGAACTCCAGGAGAGTGAGATTAGATGTCCGGGACGTGAAATTGGAGTTTCCGCCATAGCGAGACGGGATGATCTCGCCGGTATGGCTAAACGCTACACGATTAAAGGGCTTCGATATATCTGACCACAACTCGAGGTCTACTAGCGGGAAATCCTGCAAAACGAATGCACAGAAATCAGAGCTGGTAGGCATGCCACGAACATCCACTGGTCGACTGAGGATGGACCGGAATCTTGGGCTAACGAGGGTTATCTTCTGAAGCTTTCCATTTGCAGGTGGAAGGTAAACTGACGAATTACGAAGGAATATCGCTAAGTCGTTCAGATCCTCGAACTGTATTGAAGGAAGCAAGGCAGACGTATACGCAAGGTATCGAGGATTGTGCAAGATGGTAGAGATGTGGGTAGGAGTGGCAAATGATGGGAAATGGAGTATCGTGGAGCAACCTGTACGTTGCTGATATTCATCGACGAGATCCGTGACAGCACGGAGGGCAGCGTTGTCTTGGTGAAAAGGGTTCATCTCATTGCAGGCAGTAGGGATGTGGGCTGAATGAGGGGGATTAGGTTTTCGTTGACAGATTTTATACTACAGGAAGGGACCTTATTGTGCACGAAGGCTGTACAGGCATGCATTTTCTTTCATGAAATTCACGTTTTTGGCGTGAACAACGCGGTTATGCCGGTCAAAAAGTGCGCGGCTTTGCGAATAGATGGTCCCGACAGAATATAACGTCAGACTAAGCGCGTGCCAGAATAGTACCTGCACCGAGATGAAACCCTCACAGGTTTCGACGCCGTTGCCACATCGTGGTGGGAATCGTGTCGTTGCTATCCTATCATGCCTGAGCGCCGGTTCGGGCATGAGGAGTTGACGAGTATTCCACGCAGTTAGATAGCAATGGAAAGGCAATGGTGTGCGTGTAAACCTCAAAATCTGATCCGGTCAACACACAGAGGCAAGATAGTGACAGGTCTAGTTCATCCTCGCGATAAACATGGCTTTGTACAGCGAAGCAGAGTCCATTGAGTTCTTTGGAGACCATTGGGAGCGCTGACGAGTAACCACAACAAAATACCAGATTTTAAGATAATCATGAGCCTAGCGTCATGTTTTAAAGCAAGACCAGGAGACAAGTTATTTGCTTCACAGTTTGATAAATAAATATGCGGCGGGGAAATTTGAACTGGCATGTCGGAGGATACACGATTAGAAAATAATCAAGAGATATCCACCGAGCATCTTCATTCCATATCTTCGGCTGAACATGAAGGCGCCGTAGTCGTCGAACGTGATAAAGCGAAGAAGAGGTGGTGGCGGGCACCACATGGCATCCCATCCCCTGGAACACGTGGCATCCACCTACCCGGACTTTTCCGATCCCTGCCTCTTGCTCTTCCTCTCATGCCAGCACGCCTTGTATTATTGAAGGGTCCCCACGGATTGAGCGTTCGTATTTTTCAGCAGTCCATGCATACTCTGGTGTAAAATTATTCTGCTTCCTCGTCGAATGGCACTATTCCTGATTCTCATGTTTCTTTCACGCCTCTTGCTGACTCTGGACTCTGGGATCATTTGTTTGAGGTATTATGATACGGTCTTAAAAACATTCTTCCCGTCATTTTCTGTCTCCCGAACTGACAAGGGTACCAAGAAGGATCTATATGTCATTCTTACGTGTGTCGTCTTACTGGACAGGCGGCGATGATATGGTACCTCCATTTGAACTTGAACAATACCTGACACTGAACTTCTACTGACGCGTATACTTTTCGTTGCCGTATTTCAACGACAACACGGGAATTCGGACAAACGCTTACTTAGAAGATTGTTCTTAAGCCGCAAAAGCCAAGCGTGCGTTCGCTTCTGTTTGTCCGCTTTTATCGGAAGCTGCATACATTTATGTATATGATGTTTCCATCAACGACGAGTAGACGAGCTATGAGAATTTTCCCATTCGTCTTTGTAATCAGGGCAATCGCCGAATGTACTACATTCCTTTCAGTATGTCATTCTTGGCCACGTCCTCAGAAATATGTACTCATTCTTCTGTTCAATTCTCTTCCAGCCGACACGACTCTCGTTCACATGGATGAAGATTATCAGAGATAGTGAGGAACAGTCCTAGATTACCCGGTCTCCGGTCCGTACATCCGGAGTTGTGAGTGCCCTTGAGTGTCCTTTTTTTTTACCTCGATCTTACGACAGGATACACAATAACGGGAGTCCTAGCGTATACCGCCTGTGCCCTTAATAAACTAGCTTGCGTGCCTGCCTCCAACTAATTCAGTTCCCGGGGAAGCCTTTTTCCTTGACGGTGATAATGGAAGATTCGACGTTGTGCATATGAAAAGGATCTCTCCTACTGGCTGTATCAAGCCGCTATCCTATGCGAAGATACTTGATCGGTTGCTCTCTGTGGATAGTCAGCAACTTCACGTTCTCTTCGCCGTAAAGCATCCTTTATTTTCTTGGCGTCAGGATACGCATTGTCTTCCAAAACTGGCGACCTCACATATGGGTATCGTATTCCTATGAAAAGCGGACCGCTGACCATTGCGAAATCCAGACGCGGTATTATAAGCCGTTGAGAACGGTTCCATTCAGCTGGGCGAGTTCCATCTTACCTACGTCTCTTCTCCATTGAGGCCTTATCTACACCATACTATGTCACATGGCAACGATTGAAACTTTTCTCTGATTCGCGCGCCATCTAGAGCTGGTTTTGACCTCATATTTTTTACCAAAGGGTGCCACCTCTGTCTGCTTTCCGAGCGTGCGCCATCGTTCCTGATCGCGTGATCCTTCATATACCACTACTAGCAAACATCGAAATCGAAAAGTGAGCTAAATTTTATCCTTTTCCGGTCCGCAGTTTCTGATATCAGATAAGATGCCGGTCTTCTTGAAGTAATTTGAGAATGAAGAAGTCCGGATCCTGAAAGAGCGCTGCTTCACGATATGTTCCGATAACCAGAGAAGCGACTAATCTATTAGAGGGTCCGGCGGCAAAACTCCCAGTAGTTTTCCATTCCTAAAACACGTCGCCTCGGAGGATGTACTACCGCCTCGTACTCTGAATGAGCCTACAGGCTCCCCAATATCCCTACAAGCTTTTACGGCTTCTTTCTCTGAAGTATCAGCAGACCCTCTCTTCCCTCGGTCATGCCCCCGCATCCTGAAGCTCTAAAATTAAACACGAAACACAGAATGACAAAGCCAAGTCTAAATCTCATTCCACAAGTCTCCCAGCCACCGACACATCTCCTCGTGGAGGGAAAAAAATCACCCGTTCTCACCACACCTCGCACACTGACCGAAAGGTACCTTAGAGCGGGTCCAAATTCCTAACGTATGAATTATCCTGCTCTGATAACGAGCAAAGTCCGCTGACATTGGATTAGCGATCACGCGCGGAGCGACTATACTTAGTACGCACCCCACACTCCAAAATGGCAGAGCCCAGAAACAACTCCGTTGTGTCGGATTTCCAAGCCCCTTTCCAGGTTCCACTGCGCGATGGCTAAGGAAATCCAGCTGACTATACTTTTGGCCTCGGCAAGTGTCCGCGGTCCGCGGTGCTGTGAGGAGAAGCGGACCGGTTTTTCCGTGTGTTCCCAGTGGACTTCGTCCCCAAGCCCATCAGTTTCAGCGTTTAATTAGGAAACGACCGTTGGGGATATTTAAAGAGCTCCAAGGTGATCGCTCCATTGGGACTAGTCAATTTTCTACCATGTCAACCGCTTTCAATGATTTCGACGCCATTTCTGATGCTGTGGATAAAGGTGGACATTGTTCATTTTTTTTGAACTGATGGTGCTGACTAGGGGTGCGCATCAGTGAACATCCTCAAGGCGTCTACTATTGTGTGGGACAGTAAATCCGAGTTCGATAACGGCCTCGACAAGACGCGTTTCCGACAGTACAACGACGCATGCGACCGGGTTAAAGGATTCTACCGGGAGCAGCATGGTAAGCCTGCAAACCTCCTCTCAAAATATTTCGTCTTCATCATACCGTCTACTAGAGAAACAGACCGTTCAGTACAACCTAGAGGCGCGCGCCAACTTGAAGAACACCGTACGCGCGAGGATGGGTACGTACATTTTAGAACAGCCTTCGGAACTGTCAATGGATACCAGCGTCCTAGGCGTATGCGAGGCTCTCGAGCTACTCAACACCCTTGTAGACGAGTCTGACCCCGATGTACGTCTCTCCACCTCGCTCTCACCATGTCTTCCCTCTACCCTCTCCCCGCAGATCGATCTCTCCCAAATTGACCACCTCCTTCAAACCGCCGAGTCCATACGCCGTGATGGGAAACCCGAGTGGATGCAAGTCACAGGGCTCGTACATGATTTGGGGAAACTGCTCTTCCTTTTCGGTTCAGAGTGAGTGGGGTTGGTTTCTCGTTGTGTGTGGTGTGCGTGCCTTATCATTACATCAGGGGTCAGTGGGATGTTGTCGGTGTGGGTTGTTGTTAGTTTTCCGTGTGTCGATATACTGATGCTTGTTTGTCATGTATAGGATACGTTCGTCGTGGGGTGTCGTTTCTCAGACAAGGTTATCTACCCAGAGACCTTTAAAGGAAACCCGGATGCCTCTCACCCTATTTATTCCACTGAATATGGGATGTACGAGCCGCATTGTGGGCTGGATAAAGTAATGCTTTCGTGGGGACACGATGAGGTTTGTCTTTAGTTAGTATTTATGCTCTATGTCGTGCATTGACTGCTTTGTCGTAGTATCTCTATAACGTTTTCAAGGAACAGTCTTCCCTTCCCAGGGAAGGCCTTGCTATGATCAGGTATCATAGCTTCTACCCGTACGTTGCACTTGTCTATGGTTCCTGGTGCTATCTTCGCTGACAATTCACATCAGATGGCATCGCGAGGGGGCTTACTCCCATCTCACCAACGAAGAGGACGAGAAGTACCTCGCGGCTGTTCGGGCTTTCAATCCATACGATCTGTACAGCAAAAGCGATATTCCCGTCGACGTTGAGGCTGTCAAGCCGTATTATCAAGGCTTGATTGCGAAGTTCTTCCCGCCTATTCTTAATTGGTAAATGGAGTGCTATTACGCTCAGTTATTTAGCGCGCGACTGAAACTACGGAAGAGAATTTATGTGTTATTTTGTTTTGTATCATATATATCGTTGTCGTCTACTGTTAGTCTTACGCAATTCCTTCCTGAAAACATGAAACTGTAATCTGGGTATAGAGACTTCGTAGCAAGTACATACGCCGGACAATGAAGGAAGATATGGTGCACAGAGTGGCATTGTTTGCTACGGTCTCCCAAAATTCGGCTGGCCGTGGTGCCAACTCACGCGAAAGGTATGCTACATTCAGATTATAACAAACATCCGAGAGTTTTATTGCTCTAGAGTTTCCTTTGGAGAAAATCGCACAGGGCAAGCTTGTCTTCAATATAAGTATTCCAAGAGCCTGGGTATAGTACCTTGGTCCGACGAAGATTATAACGTCTTCCCTGGTATAATTGTCGGTTGGGATCACAGATTCTGGGTTCGATTCCCCGTACCAGGATACGTAAGCTTCAGAACTGTTTGCTTTTTTAATCTATACTGGCCTTGCCAACCGTATTTGAAAAGCAGGTATAGTTCACTCTGCAATTTCTCCATGTGATTAGAATTTGGACAGCTATGCAACGATAACTCAAATAAAAATCGTCGTGTGCCATTTCAAATGTAGATATAGGGACTCGAACCCTCGGAAAGTACTTCTTATGCATGTTATCCACGTAGACTTACTTGCAAGCTGCAAGGGCTCTACCAAGGCTTCATCCAAAGGAGGGGGTCCTAATCACACTTAGTACAAGTTGGCATGGACACGTGCAATATATTAGGGAGCATATACGAATGCGCGGTTCGATTCCTCGTGTCTGGTTTTACCAGATCACTATGACCACGATGTTGATGAGGCCTTGCAGCTTGAAAGCGTGGATACTCTGGTCAAGGAGTAGTAGTAGCTTCCAAGGGTTCGAGTCCTTATATCCTCATGTGGAGTACTGTGGAATGAACATTTTTATCTGAGTTGTGGTTGTATAACGAGGGGGAAGGACTACGTACTTGCCTCTGGTTGAAGTGTACGGGTTGGTAGATGGAGGTTCAGGTTCTTCATATGCAAAATTCCGCTATTTTTTCAGGTTATTGCGCTTCGTTACATAGCCCTAATAAACATATGGTAGGGTGCGGATTTGAGGGTTTGAATTCATGGAAAATCGACGATATGTTGACAGCAGTCAGAAGTATATACTGAAAGATTGCTATTATTTTTACGAAATTTCATCCCACAAAGCATGGATTTATGGTATGGGTATAAAGCTTTCGTAGCGAGTACATAGTTTAAAACAAGGGGCCCAGAGTTTTATTGTCCCGGAGTTTCGATGAAACAGTAACCTATGCGATGTGAATAAAATCACTCAGGGCAAGTTTGTCTTCAATATAAGTATGACAAAGGCCATGGTCTGACCAACATTACCGCGCATTTTCTGGTAAATTGGTCAAGTCAGGGTTCGATTCCCCGTATCAGAATAGTGGGTGCAGGAAGTTACTTTTACCTATACAGGTCTTGACACCGCTTTTTGTAAGTATGTATAGTTGAACCTGTTATTAGTTAGCTCCACCCTGAAATTAGTTTTGGAGAGAGGGAGAGCCCTTGTCGCGCTACCATCTGTGCTTAATACAAGTGGGCATGGACACATGCAATGTATTATTGTACGTCGTCACGAATCATTGAGAGGTCGATCCTTCATGTCTGCTTTCACCCGTTTGGTGCGAATACGATGTTTGCTTTATTCAAGTAGGTTGAGGCCTTGGTAGAGTCCCTGTATCTTGAAAGCAAGCCGGCGTGGATAATATGATCAAGGTGGAGTTTCCGGGGGTTCGAGTCCCTATATCCTCATTGTTTGTCGAGAACATATTTTATCAAATTTGTTTTGTATAGCAAGGACTTAGTAATCAGGAGGGGATGGTACTCGCCCCTGGATGAAGAAGACAAGTTGTTTTAATATTCTGCTTGGTTGGTTACTACTTGTTATTGCGACCTTGATATACCTTTGGTAGGGGGAGGATTTGAATTCGCGGAAAGTCGACGGTATGCTGACGACGGTCTATATAACTAATTCATGCAGAAAAATTCGTCTTGTTGGCACGTAGAATTACACCACTAGTCTAAGAACAGATCGAGGAGGATCCGGCCCAAGTCATGCAGTGCTAGTCAGTTATTCCTGCTTGCAGACCTTAGCGAAAAATATACGGGTAGGCGCGAAATGTGGAGAACATGAGTTCCTGGCGGTTTGGGAACTCCGTTGCACCTGCCGTGATAACGATCGCCCTAGAGAGAACGTGTCAAGTCGTACCGAACGCTTGCCCATGAGTAGAGAAGGATGAAAATGCGAGATCATCTCGTAGCAGGTGGATCTGTATATTGTCAACTTGATATCGTCAGAGTTACGGTACACATACGATATACTTCGGTACTCGCAGTTCGTCGATAGCAGGAAACGGTGCCGCCTCATAGTCGTAGTCCTCAAGGATGGACACCAAGTACCAGTGTGGGGCCAAGCTCAAAGGGTCCGTCAAGGGGAAGAACACTCTCTGTGGGAGATGTGCGGTATGGAACGACCCTCCATCGTGATAGAGTAGTGCGCCGAGAATGGTGCATACAGCGCGGGGTTAGTAAGTTGATGCATATGGACCATAGGAGAGGTGGCGTATGGCAGCGGGTCAGAATCCTTGATGGCTCCGAGAACAAAACACCCACCGACCGTGTATGACTACTAATGTTAATCGCACGAGCAACCAATTCAACACGGCACGGACCCAACTCCGCCATATGCACATATAGTCAGCTGTTGGGGTCGAAGGCGTCTAGGAGGAGGTCGCAATGACGGCAATAAGCATGCCGTGCTCTCTGATCTGTGCAGCCGATATGAGCATAATTCTATGCAATTGAGCGCATATCATCACCATCAACGCGAAGACTCGGACCTGTCGCCGAAAAACATTGGCGACATAGGGCATGGATGAGAGATCACAGATGCCATGGTGCCTCGCAGCGAGGAAAAGGAAGAAGGTGCCGTGAAGCAGGTCGAAAAGTCAAACGTTGCGAACGAGTTGGTGGTAACACTGACAGAAGAAAAGCTTTAGCAGTCACACTGACTGTGACAATCGTGCTCGTGATATGTGTGACCGGGTCGGATCGGGACGATTAAATATTCGGGTGTCGTTTTCTCCTTCTTCGCTACTCCTTCGCTTGCTCTCTCTTGATTGTGTGTGGACCGCTATTGGATGTATTCTCGGAGGATAATCGATTTTCAGAGGAAGAGTTTCGGAAGAGGCGTGCACGATGTCGGATGTTTGTTTTTTCTCTGAAGATTCTCCGCCAGGCTTGTGGACTAATACCATATAGGTTCCCAGAACAAGAATTATCTCTTTAAAAGTGCACCTACACAAATATAGTACAATCCGGAATACTTTTTCGATAGCCATCACACGACTCGTATTCCGATGAACGCGTTGGTGAAGTCGATTCCAGCAGTCAATCGCTTGGCGCGTAAATGCCTACGAGTACCGCAACGAAGGCTATACATCGGATCCTTCCAGACAGCTCTTCGGTGCCAAGTCAGATGGTATTCGGGTTGTCATTGAACTGCGGTGGATCTTGGGATTCAGTAAGTTTTTGATATTCCTTGCGTGAATAACCATACTAATTACTTGTCAAGGAACACGCAAGCTGCGGTGCTTCTTCCACGTGCTGGCGGGATGACCCAACAATATCCAGATATTATTTTCCATGTTCATCTACTCCGCTACTCAATTTCGCACATCTGACTTCTTGGCGACTGCGACAATATTTTTAGCAAGGACAAGTTTATAATGTGACCAATGAGAGTAAGTGGCGTTCCATTCATCTAGGGTTCAACTGCACCGCATAAGACCAGGAATTCATTGCTTCGAATAGGTCTCTATCCACCCTTGACCCACACGCAACGAGACAATTTCGTTCTGAATGCTCTAACCTTGAACTCTACCCATACGTTATAATACAGGATCGCTCAGTGTCGCCAAACAACAGACCTGACATCTTCAGCCAAGTCGCGAGAGAGTACGTACTACTTGATGCCCAGGGACAAGGCTGTGCTTATGTGGGGCACCCGCCAAGACCCTAGACTACGTTAACCAGATCATCTCACCACCGCAATTCTCACGCATGAGGCACATAAGAACCCTTCATTCAAGGTAACCCACCAGGCACTCCGCGATGAAGCTTAAACTACTATTCCTTGGATTCATAGTTCTGCCAGTCTGGTCTCAGGGCCAGCCTGGACGCGGCTCTAGGGTATGCAATTCTACACATTCCTTCCTCCTTTTCACTGAAGCTACCCGTCCATCTGAAGGCAACCGTTGTCCTAAGCGGATCGACAGTAACCGGCAGCGTCATCTTCCAACAAGATCAATCCGACGGGCCCGTCAAAGTATCGGGACGTATCCAAGGTCTCGACCCGTCCGCATTACGCGGGTTTCACGTCCAGTACGTCTTTTCTTCTTCCCCAACAGCCCATCCTCACCGCCTTCCCACCCCTAGCGAATTCGGCAACCTCCCAGGTAACTGCACCTCCGCCGGAGCGCACTACAACCCCTTCAACACCACCCACGGCGCTCCCACCGACGACATCAACCACCGACACATCGGCGACCTCGGGAATATCAAATCCGACGATAAAGGTGTTGCCAACCTGGATTTTAGTGATCATATTATCAAGCTGGAGGGGCCGATGAGTATTATTGGGTGAGTGAAGGGGTAGGGAGAGGGAGGTGACTGTGACTGACTGGGTTGGTTGGTGTAGGCGCTCTGTGGTCGTACACACGGGGACGGATGATCTTGGGAGGGGCGGAACGCCGCTTTCGCTCACGACGGGGAATTCGGGGGACAGAGCTGCGTGTGGAGTTATCAGTATGGGGTTTACTTCATATTTATCTCATACGCTGATTGATGATTAACTCTAGAATCGGGGTGATGTGCAGTACCGAATGAAAGTTGTTTCTTTTATCTCCCTTGATTGTAATTTTGTACGATTTTGGAACGAGGAATATCTCAGTCCGTGTTTTTAAACTGATCAAGGGATGAATAACGAGGTGTTTTTAAGTTGCTGAAGGATTTACTAGCGCCACAGGAACTATCAAGCAACGGCTAGCCGTCGCAATTCTTCTAAGCGATGGACAGTAACATCTCATTGTGATTGAAGCAATGCAGTTTCAATCTCTTAACTACGTGCAAGTACAAAGTTATGATGGTGGCGCTATCAGGCGTCTATCAGTATCAATAGACCGTAAACATTGTGTCAGTCACAAGATCAGGCTATAGGCGCTACACTCGTGTTGCGCATGACCTGGGCTCCCACGGCTCACGCAGCCTCTTCTTCTCTCCTTCATCGATAATGGGCGCTAATCAATCAAAGAAGTACATCCTCGCTACGTATGAAAGGGCCACCGTATTTGTCAATAGGGATGACGCTACTTATTACGATGTAGGTATTTCCGTGTCGACCAGAGGGATATATCGAAAGTTGATATGCGCAGAACTTGAGAACTGCTCTACACACTCTTTTCAAGAGTCTTTCGAAAGACTCGATGATCATCCAAACTAATGAGTTGGATGTCTGCGATGGAGAATATGTCGATATTCCGGATGAATTGTGGGTGGGCATTGGCCCCCGTGTTTGTAACATAAATGTTATTTCTCGTGCGTTACAGTACTTTGCTTATCGGAAGTAGCCAAATTTTTAATCAGGACCTCCTACGACATACCTTAGCTATGGCGTGCACGATGGCTCTCCTCTTTCCCCGAAGGAAAACTACCTTGTCGCTACAGATGGAAAGTTCAGGGTCTTTGTCCGTAGAGCTGAAGTCACTAATTACGAGGTGTGCATCTAAGAAGTCATCGATTGTTGTGTATTCACTTCTAGTTACGTCTCGCGTAGAATCTGATTATCACTCTTCTCCGTCATTTCCCGGAGTTAGATGAAGATTATATCGTTGTTCAAACAAATCAGATGAAGACATGTGCGGGACGATATGTCGACATACTACCTTCAGAGTGGTCAAAGATTAGTCCCCAGATTCATCGCATCAAGGTCATCTCTCGTGAGTACTTACTTTTCTCATCACTGCTGTTGACTTTACACTGTACAAGGACTGCCTAAGATGATGACTATTTCTGTTCAATTGCTTACTGGAGAAACAGCATCAGTGACACTGCCTCAGTCTGCATCGGTCTCTGATCTAGCAGAGATGGTACACATTTACAATGGGTATTTCATACACCGGGGAGAGTGGCTGGAATCCGACCGGAACCTATCTTCATATAACATTCGTGAAGGGGCGAAAGTTCAACAAGTTAAGTATGCTTCTCAGCCTTGGTGGTGGGCTTGGGAACATGGCATGGACGAATCAGAAGATCGCGGCGTTTAGGGAAGGATTTGACTAAGCATCAATATTTGTACCGTGTCCCTTACTGTTCCCTATAGACGTTGTTTGTACTCTCTCGCCTCCTGAACGGTACGAATATTATTGCACGGACAGTCACTACCCGGTCTCGAGAAAAGAAGAAATCAGGAGACAAACTTCGTCAGCGCTTGACCCCCATTCCAACTGCATAAAGAGTTTCTCGTATTTCATCTTTTCGCAATCCACGCCAACTGCAACAATACGTCTCCAGCAGTCAACATGTTCAGACGCTCGGCAAATCGCTACATCCAACTTCTCATCCTTGCAAACATTTTCGAACAGCATGAACACGCCGGCAATTTACCGATGACGATATCCTGTCTGGGATCGACATCAAGAAGTGCAGCACATTCATACAAGAGACGTCGCAAGGTATGTCAACGTTGCGAACGAGTGAGTGGCAGCAGAAGAGGAGCATTTGAAGTCAGTCATGACAATCGCCTATTTTTTGTCTCTTGATTGTATGTAACCTCCGATGGGATGAATTATCCGAGGATCCTCTAGACTGAGCGGGAAATTTAGGAAGAAGCTTGCACGATGTTCGATGCTCCTTTCCCCTGAAAACCTTTCACTGCTCGGCTCGTGGGCCGATACAATGCAAGTACCAAACCCGTGAATTATCTCTTTCAAGATACACTTATATAACTGTGATACGCTATAGCATACTTTGTCGACCACAGTGCACAATTGTGATTCCAAAAAAGACATGCTAATCCCGGTCAAATCGATAGTTCTAGCAGTCCATCAGTTTACGCGTAAATTCCTACCCACGAATATTGTAGCAAAAGCTGTACATCGTTTCCTTCCAGGGATCTCTTCAGCGCCAAGTTCGATGGCATTCGGAACGTTGTTGAACTGCTGTGGATCTTGGGATTCAGTAAGTTTTTTGATATTCCTTGTGCGGATGACGATGCTTAACAGCTCTCCTAAGGACACCAAAGTTGGAATGCTTCTTCCGCGTACTGACGTGGAACCGTCTCGCTAGGTCCAGGAGAGAGAATAGGGAATCGCTCGTGATAGTCGCGGTCGTAGCTACGGACAAGCGGAAATTACGGAAATGGTGCACGTGATCGAGGAGGAACCGGACCGTGCCAATGCCGCCTCCAACGGGATGACCCAAGAAGATCCACACGTTCTTTCGCATGATCTTCACTTTCATCTGCTCCGCTACTCTGCTCCGTACATCTGGCTTCTTGATATGTAACACTGAACGGAAAGTGGTTTCTTCTATCTCACTTCATTTTAATCTTGTACGATTTGAAAGGAGGAATATCTCAGTCCGTGTTTTCAAGCTGATAGAGAGATAATAGCATGGTGTTTTTAAGCTGCTGAAGGATTTCATAGTGCCGTAGGAGGTATCGAGCAATGGATAATTTTCCCGATTCGCTCTCAGTGATTGACACTCTGACTCTTCATTAAATTACTCGCTTTGACCAGTGCACTCTGTTCCTATTCGTCAGATACGAGTAACGTCTTTAAAAGGGCTTCCTTCGCTGTCATCCAAGTCACTGACGTCCAGTTTTCTGTTTCGGTATGTTCTTCGCTGCCAAAGCATATCCCGATCTGATTTCATTTGTTAGGAACGGCGACAGTATTATCCCTTATCCTGGTATTTGTACGAGCCCGGGACTTATGAAAGGTACTTTGGAGAACCCGAATACGCTGTAGGAGCGATTAGGATGGTGATTTTCTCCCCACTCGTATCTTACCTCTACATCACGTTAGTCTACTCCAAAAATCTAGAATATCGATCCCTTACTGACATTCTCTTCGATGCCATTCATGCGGCTATAGAGTGCTATTGCAATTTCTTCTACTTATTACGTCGCCTACGCCGTCTAATCAACAGGCGTACCAGGGTCTTGCAGGGGCTTAAGACTTCCATTCAACCTCTTCCATCCTTGCATCTCTTCTACTACGAGTAACCTGCTATGGTTCCAGATCGCAGTGGCTCGCAAGTATCAGAAGTTAAAGAACTACATCATTTGGAAGAACAGCGACCGGCCGTCTTACTCTCTCTCGATACCAGACCTACGAGTGTGTAGGGTGACGCAGCCGCTGCTATTACTTTGAAAAACGGAAGAACGTATCTAGCCGAACAGGAAACTTCGACCGCGAATGCGGATGACCATCGCGGATATATTCCGTTGATCTCAACAGTATTCGCTCGCTGTCTGAGTCGTCAATACAACGCGCCGACCCAGCAACGAGGGAATCCGCGGCATAGGGTTCGTTTCGAAGTGTCTATCTCGGAGCTCGTATTTACCGACGACAATCCCGACACATGCAATTTTGACTCAGTTCCGCTAATTAGCTGGAATATCCAATTCGCCCAGCCGCCGTATGGAGTGTCGAGGTTCGCTCTCGCCAACACAAATTTTCAACAGCTTCTTTTTCCTGTACTTGCAGGATCCTGGGGCTCATTCCTCTTCGTGAATGAAAATGAAATGATTCTCTCCCTCCATCCCCATCCGCCGCAGCCTCTGCGAATGAAAATGTATTTCACTTCGGACCAATTTCAATTTCAAGGTTCGCTCACCCGGATGTCAACTTAGTTCCCTCCAACAGTACGATTTGCGTGTCACCATTGCACCCTTTAACGCTCAACCCTTTGACAGCTCCGTATAATTCTCTCGGAAGCTGCGTCAATACAAAATACCTCGTCGCCGGTCTGTCCAGAAAGTTTCTCGGCACCTCGGGGTCACTGATGCTCGACTTCCAATACCCTGGATTTCATGCGGGGATCGCCTTTTGGACTGCGATAGGCGCGTATCTTCGAAAATGGTACTCCACGGATCGAGTTCTATCTTGTAGCTTCAATGTCATTACCAGACAGCGAAATCTATTCATCGAATATTCTATTACGTCTGCCACCCCCTCCAGAGTGTCGTTTTTCTGACTATTTCTGCGATTACGTCCCAATCTCAACTCGCGTCATCTACTAGGTTTCCGGGGCTAGCGCGCTTGTCGTTGATAAAGAAAGCAGTATAAAACAACCCCGGAGGCAACTTACTAGTGCAGTCCCCGGCAGTCCCTCTCATCTGAATACCTCTTCACCATGTCCAGCTCGCGTCTCGTCGTCCTCGTTTTCGCTTTCATCACCTTTGCTGTTGTGCTCGTCGGCGCAAGCCCTGCACCGGGGAATGTCATCTCCGCCAGAGCTGAACCTCCCTGTGCCATGGACGTCATGAACAACCTCGGGAGCTCCGTCACACCAATTCTCGATAAAATTGGTAGGCTACCCGTGTCTTTCCATCTTTATACCGATGGATACTTTTTGCGTAGATAATCTCGTAGAAACGAAGACCGCCACCACGGAAAATATCATACCGCTGCTTAATGAGGTCACCGTCGTTATCAATGTCGCTGCTTCCTCTCTGCAGATTGTCAGTGTCGTTACAAGCTTACTCCAAATTGCCAATGTCGCACAGGTGACTTTCACCATCCTGGCGGTGTGTAGTTTTTCAGAAATGCACTCAATATCGGATAATCAACTGTCTTTCTGCAGGCTATCAATACCACTCTTTTAGGCCTTTTGGGCTCCGGTTTGGGTCTCGATCTCGGAGTGGTAGTATCACTGGTCAATGTGGCTACCGGCGACGTACTTAAGATACTGGTTGTTATCGCGCCCGGGTTGCTCCCTCTTGGTTGTGAAATTGTACGTCATCCTTCCCCTTCAGCGTTGTTTCCTTGAGTCTGCACCCTGACAATATTCATGAAATAGGCTGCTAGGCGTTAGTAGCCCCATCGTCTCTGTGGTTGTAGGTTTTTTGTGACTTTAGATGGTAGTAGCTCGATTTCATCTTTGTTCTTCCGACCCTTCTTTCCTTCTGCAGATATCGTTACCTGTTTAGTTTCGCTATGGACACTATCGAACACCTTGCAGATACAGCCGATATGAGCTACTGATTTCCAGACAAATTGAAACAGAGACATTGTCTCCACTGGTCAGATCTGTACTCATACCGATGTCTAAAAGAATCAAGACATCCCGGTCCATGCATGCTAGGGTCTGAGGATCCTAACATTTATGTTAGTGGGATGGAATACATACGAAGAAATCCTAGCAATGGCAACAATGATGGCTAAACGGAGAAGTACATGGATGATATTCAGTCTCGTAAAAACAGGAAACAAGTACATGGCTCAATCAATTCTTCACCTCCATACCTCCCCATTCCAGAACTCTGAAAAGCGCCTCGTCTTCCATCATATTGCAGTCCACACCAATGACACTCTTCCAAAATTCAACCTCCTCAGATGCCCGCGAGAGCGCACCCTCCCACTCGTCTAACTCATCTTCGCAAACCCTCTTGAAGAGCATGAACACACGGGTGACAACATCTGGTTTAGGCTCGACGTGGAGCGGCGCAGCATATTCGTACGAAGCCTGCGGAAGGAAACGTAGAGCGACGTAGTCGTGCTTCAAGATTGATGGAAGCCAATATCTGATGGTGAGGTAGGTAACAAAGAACGGGATGGAAGCGTCGATGACGTACGTGATGAAAGAAGTCCTTGCTTCGACATGGAGACCGAGAACGGTCAATGCCTTGTCGATGTACGGAGCAATTTTTGACGTCGGAAGGACGATGGATTCGTCGTTGGTGACTTTGGCCTGTAATGGGTTGAACGGAGAAATGGTATCCAAAAGCGCCGGGATAAGGTGGGGAGACGAAGGAGGCGAGGGCGGACAACCAGGGTTTGTCCTACGAGGATGGCGAGATTGAGTCCAGTAGCCTGAGAAATGAAATTGAAATCGACTTACTCTGCTTCCCAGAACAAATAGGATACTCGTGTACCGGTAGCCGTATCGGTCATGGTATGGTCCTCATGAGTATTGACGTTCCATTCGATGGACTGCCCGGATTCAGTGGACTTGACTTGGATACTCGGGTAGAGAGCAGAAAATGACCATGATTTGACTAAAGCTACTCGCACAACGGCGTTCATGGGATGAGGAGCAAATAGGTATATGACTGGTTTGCCGCCTCGCAATTTGTCGACGATGGTGACCTGAACTGTCGAATCCTTGCGAACATTGTATTCGGACAGGTTGTGACCGGATATAAGCTCCCGTCCCCGATAGGTCAGTTTTTGCTGATCACGTGGTAAGCCTTCATTATCTTGCACCATTTCTACTAGATCAGAGACAGATGCAGCCTCGGGCAGCGTCAATGTTATCATTTTACCGGTGAAGGTCTTAACAAAAATCCGCATCGATCGGTTCAGAGGGGCAGGCGTCGATGTTTGCGTCGGTCCTGGTCATATCTCAGGTAGTTGTGATACACAAACATCGATCACGCACGGGTGATAACCTTGATATTATAAATACGAGGGCTAATCTCCAGCCATAAGTCATCTGGAATGTCGATATACCGCCCAGCGCAGATATCCAGCTCGTTGGTTTGGATGATCATGGACTCTCTGGCGATACTCGGGAAACGTTTGTGAAGAATAGAGAGCAAGTTCTGGGCACAAGCATCACGAATGCACCATCATCTTCAACTTTCGAACGCTTACGTCGTAATAAGTAGCTTCATTCCTACGGATGAGAACGTTTGCATCACCATTCGTAGCGACGATGTAAAGCTTGGACGATGTGGTCATTGTAGATAGGTCGGAGAGAAGAAAGGGTACCGTGGGTGCATACATACAAATCACGCTGTACTGGATCTGTGCTCCGTCTTGTGACGCACATATAAAGTTCAGATAGACGCCAAAGAATCAAGGGAAGTATTCACCTAGCTATATGTAGGTATCGCCTAAGAATAGACCCACTGCCCTCCTACTCTGACTGCAGCCATGCATGAGTCCGTAGCACCCTTTCCAACAACAGTAGCAGTGATATAGGAGCCCACAGTTATCATAATTTCAATACTGAACACGAACAGACATCGGCAGATCTAACGTAGCAATCCATGGATCCACCATTAAAGTGCAGAGATATTGACGATATCCCAGGGTATATGATATTTTCTGTGAGAGCTAAAAGCGCTTGTCATTAGGCGGTCGAAGAGAGAGCGGCTCAAAGACTTACTGCATAGGGAGGGGTTCGCTGATCGGGTTATCGACCACTCGTAGAGAAGGAAGCAGGCAGTACAGAGACAGAAGTCATGTGTAGTGGAGGTAGAACAAGAGCAGACGAAATGCCACGAGGAGAACGAGAAGAAGGTCGATTGAAAAATACACGCCAAGACGGCGCGATCGATCTCTTAAACGGGCTATTATTGATCGGAGCTGGATCGGAGATCAAAATGGACGGGAAAAAATTTGCGCCTTGTTTTGGCCTTCTTCAATGCTCCCCTTAGCATTATTAGCCTCGGCGCTTTTAACAGTTCAATTTTGTTCCCACACAGCTGTAGCTCTAAAGTGGTGTATCTTATTTCTTCCCAAGTTCGCAAGAAACTTGCAGTCTGCCTGATAGTTCGGAACGTTCCATCCAAGTTCCACCTAGCCTTTGTCCTGTAGCCAAGGATTTAGCACCCTTAGCGTGAGCTATCCGAACGTGCATTTGGTAGTAGTACTATATAGCATATATACGGATTTATGTAGTTAAAAGCTTTGACGATTCGCAGCGTACCCTGCAACATTATAAGGTTGGGAAATTCGACTGTTAATTCCGAATTCCTCCTCTTGCCTTTGGAGGGTTAAAGCCGAGCTTGATAGGCCGGGTCGTTCCGGGATAAACCCCAAAAAATTTAGGAAAAGAACGAGTGCGACGGTTCATGCAACCCCGTAACTGCAGCTCATCGTTCTGATTCAGTAGTGAATTCAGCTGGTGAGCAAAAGAACTTGTTATGTGATTTCTGCTGAGTATCGAATATACGGAATATCTGTACATCTGAAAAGTTCTTCATACATTCTGAAGTTATCGGCCGCTTAACCAAAATACAAACGGTTAGAACAATTACATGTAACAGTACAGCTAATTTGAAAGCATGTTTACCCAACACCCAATAAAAACAGTAGAACTGAAGACATATTTAGTACCCCTCCTGCAGAACCTCAATCACCCTCTCATTTGTAAGAAACTCATAATGCCCTCCACCCACGAACACAACCCTCGCATCCGGCAAACATCTCTTCACACCAAGATCCGCCCACTCCTCCCTATTTTCCTCCGCATATGAGCCTACAGCACCTTCTTTCGTAACAACAACCATAATAGGAGCCTTCACCGTCCTAATCCAGCGTTCCATAGCCTCCATCGAAGCCCTCCCATCACCCTCCCTATCCGTAGTCAAATCATACACAAACTCCGAAATAGCAGTCATGTACGCCCTGATATTATGCACTCCAACCTTGACAATCTCATTCGCATAAACCCCGTTCCATGCATCCCGCAGGGCCTTCAAAGACCGCTCGAGTGACCCCCAATTCGCATCACGCTTCATCAGCCCTCCGATCGCCTCGATCCCGCCATCGACGAGGATCTCTCGGTTCTCTGGGACTCGAGGGTCAGGATTCCCGGCCTTGTTAGCGGAGTAGACGAAGGATGTGGGGAAATGGTCGAGCATTACTGCTTGCGAGACCGTGTCACCGTTGTCTTCGAATAGCTTGACTAGGACGACGAGGAGGATGCTCGTGGAGGAGTAGGAGGCGAATCGGTAGGGCCCATGGGGCTGTCGGGCTTTGATCTGGTGGAAGTAGAATGCAGCCATTTCGTGAAGGGATCCTAGGGGTGTGTCGGGTGTTATTTGGAGACTCCAGACCGATGTTCTGAATTTCTCGGCGTATGAGGCGTATTCGAAGATAAAGCCTCCAGCACCTAGGCATTTCCCAGTAAACAAATAGTAGAAACGGAAAAAAACACGACCCACCATGAATCATAATAAGCGGCGACTCGCCTTTCCCATCCCGAAGCTTAACGATAGTCTCTCCCTCTTTAGGGACCGTGCTCACTTCGGGATAATAAGGCTTCGGCTCCTTCTCCTTCGAAGTCTCTTTCTGTCCGTTGACGGTCACCCTTCCAGCTAAGATGACGCCATGCACAAAAGCACCGAGCGTGGCGATCGTGGGTAGATCAAACACGAAATTAGGCGGCAGCGATCTGATGACTCCCACGGGTAGATGGAATTTCCGCAGCGCGCCCATGATGGAGTTTCGTATGGACAGTGCCGTCAGGCTGTTATGTTAATCATTGGAGTTGGAGAGATGAGTAGGATGGAAGAGGTAGGTGACGTACCTGTCTCCACCTACAGAGAAGATATCGTCAGTATCGCCGATGACGGAATCTCCTTGCAAAGCGCCTTTAACGATGTCCCGAATGAGGTTGGTTGCCGTTTTCAGTGTGAGGGTTTGTGGGATTGATATATCGGGCGACAGAGCCTCGACGGCTTTGTATGCGTCTTCGATTTCTTGTCCGTAGGCTTTGAGGATGGCTCCCCTTCGTAAGGATTGTTTTGCAGTGAATTCGAAGGGTTTCTCTGGGCTCGCGATGAGGATCATCTTTGGACCAGGATCAATCAACTATCACCCGAGATGGAGTGTACCCTCACCTCTTTGTAAATCCTAGAATGCTGAGGGGCACTCTCGTTGATTTGCACGACCGTATCCCTGTCACATCCATCATGTCAGCACGGAGAAAGCCAGATGAAGTAAGTCCAACCAAATAAGTGAACGATACTCCGCTAGACGCTTCGCGTCGTTCGGATCAAAGGCGTATTCCTCGGAAGGCTGTATCAAGACACCCGGTTGGAATTTCCCTCGTCCAAACATGACGGCACCTGAGATACGTTTATCGCCTAGCAAGCCCGCCTCTGTAGGGATATATATATATAAATTTTGATTTGGGGATTAGGGAGGAGAGAGATCGCACCGATGGGTCCTGGGTTGGTCTATTGAGTAGAACATAGAACAAGTAAGAAAGGTAAGCCATTTGGTGCCGAGCTTTCCTTACCTTCTCCTGTATGAAGTAAACCGTCAGATCGCCCGGTTTGTTATCTTAGGATAGAATTAGCGACTTACACCGGTACTATGCATGATTTGGTCATCTAAACACCGCATCAGTCAGAACTCAGTTATATAAATATACATAATCCTCGTACCAGCGCGTCCATAAGCCTTCCACAATTTCGGGTTTGACGGATGCAGCTTGACGAGATCTTTCGTATCGAACGCCGGGACACCGTCTATCTCGCAGTTCAGGACTGAAGGTGTGCTGAGTTTGGATTTCTACGTAGCCGTGAGTGACATACGTTGCAGAGCATAAGCTTTACCTTGATGTACAGACGGTATATGTCTTCCTCCTCAGTTGGAGCAAACACGGCGTCCATCCTGTTGGAGACCTGTAATTCAGGTAAAGGGAAATGAGAATGAAGTAGGGGAAGGAGGAAATACGAACTCCCATCCATTCCCAGCCTTCGGGCGGTGCGGATTCTGAGTGAAAAATATTAGTTCGAGTAGACATGAGCGAAGGAGCTCCGCGTACTAGGAAATATGTCTGAGATACCTCCGACCTCCGTTCTAAACCACATTTAATCGATGAGAGGGCTTGAAAGGAGGGAAAACTTACAGGCCGAAAACCGAGATTAAGTTGACTCCGTGGTGAGATAGGATATCACCAGCTTCCTTCGAAAGAGGACCTCCGCTAGAGACCTACAAACTCAGCTTGAAGAACACTTTTTATCAATGGTGATACTTACTAGTCCTTTTGTCGTTTTCAAAGCCTTGATAGCAGCAGGATCGTGGGCCCATTGCTATAGAACAGATGAGTTGCTAGCCGGAAGATAGACAAGACGGGCGTACTTCTAGGAAGGAAGGGACAGAGAAGATATAAGTACATCCCGTCTTGACTAGGCTGGATAAGAAACGTTCGGCAGTGGGTATTACGGCTGGCTGTTTTGGAGAAAAATGCGCAGGAATCGCGCCTGTTGCCACCTTCAAAGGGTTATCAATAAGACGAGTTTGAATAGAGAATGAAAATGAAAGGACGTACACTGAGCGACGTGATCCAAAAACCGAGAATATCTGCAAAGATAGATTCAATGAAGGGCAGTCATTCGGGTTTGTTGTACTTACGGTACATGGGACATGACTGAGCAGCGAAGACTTCACCACAGAGGTCTATTTCACCGTAATCTGTGGAAGCTACGTTTAAAGTTGGCAAGGAGAAAAGATGGGGACACGTACAGGAGGCCTTGCTGAACTCCAACATAGATTCATGACTCCGAAGGATCGGGCTAGGGAACCGCGTCGTTCCCGACGAATGCATGATAAACGCTGTTTCATTCCAGTCTGGTTTCTTGAACGGGGGAAGGGGTTCGTAGGACTTGACGTAGATATCGCTGAACGCGGGCATCGGGATGGTGGTGATGATCCTCTCGTCATCGTTATGCTGGCAAACCGACTCAGCGATCTTCTGGACTGTCGCGTCCGGGCTGACGATGAGGTATTTGGAGTTGGTGGCTTTCATTAGATGCGTGATGGCAGGAGCCGAGTTTCGGATGGATATGGCGAAGGGGATGTGTCCGAGGCGCATGATTCCGGTGATCGTCGCGAAGAAGGTTAGGGTATCTGGGAAGTTTGGCTTTAACTTTGTCATTCATCCTTAGATATGCGTAACAGCGTACCGGAATTTGCCAAAATGCTGACAACGACGGGACTGGTCTCGTCGTGGAGGTATTTCTTGAAGTATTGACCGGCATTGTGAATGGCTGCGACGCCTTCGGTCCAATGTATGGTTCGGACGTCGTTGCTATTGGGATCCTCGTATCGAAACAACGGGTGGTTCGGGCTGTGTTCGCCATTGTAGTCGATAATCTCTGGGAAGGTCAGCGAGCCGTCTATAGGAGGAGGAGTAAAGGTGAGGGATGAACGGCCTTGGGGGGTTGGGAATGCCATACTGGAGTAAGATGGAAGACCACACTACATCGAAAGAGCATCATTTATAGAGGGTACCTTAGGGGGATTATAGTGTTGTGATTACGTACGAAGCGTACGTCCCTATCGCACGAATCGATGCTTTCTCGTGTAGTCAATAGGATGCCGATCGGCGGTTTAGTCGATCCTGTTTACTTGAAGAATGTATCTGTGAGAAGAAGTGCATTGATTAGGTGAAGGACAGGACGTCATCCGTCATGAGACTGGTATCTGCGAAGAAGACCTTGCTATCTCGTGGTCCTTGTATTCTGATGGCAGAAAAATGAATCATAAGAATAGCAAAGTTATATTTAGCAATTCACCGTGGTACGTGAACTGTTCAGTAGCGCCCATATGCGCTGAGTTCGTGGAAAGTTGAAACGTATTCACTCGGGCAACTTGGGTGTTGCTCAATAGTATCTCTGCGTGAAATTGGTGAGTATATATATACACATCTGATTGGTACAGCTGCACTCACATAATGGCAGGGAACCAGACTATGTACCGGCAGCTCAATCGTTGCGGCGGTTACGTGGTTGTACAATATACATGCTAATCTCTGGTTCCTGGAGGACAAGTGAGCATACTCGTGATGGTCGAGCCGCAGAAAATAGAGAATAAAGACATCAATATAGGTTCTTTCGGCTAGAGGTTAACCGGTCTGCTGTCTGGAATGACAAATACTTAATGATACCGACTGAAATCGAGAGAGGAGATAAAGAGGCGAGAGGTTAACCTAGATCAGAACGAACGTGTCAAGGTCAAAGATAAAGTTCTAGTACGAACTGTCGCTATTCGTATTCAGCGCTCAGAGTCGCGTTAATAGTATATAGTGCGGTCGTCGAGACAGAGTGATGGAAGGAAGATGAAGCCCGGATAAAATGAAATTCAGGCGCACACAAAATTTGTGACTGCCTAGCACGTGCGCAGCGAACGCGTTTGTGACACTAAATTGAAATCGTCCCCTTCTTTCCCTCCAACCACGATGAGCGCTCCCAGACACGTCCGCTACGCGGCAGAAACGCCCCTCATGTCATCCTGTGAGCTCGATATGAGGGAACTCTCAGGTTCAAAGACCGAGACCCTTCGCGACGACGTGTTATTCGAGAAGGAAAAGATCACCATTGAGCGGCACGGATTCTCGCCCTTCCAGCGGTGGTACCGCGAGATCGCGAGCGTGAAGAAACGGCAGAGGACCATCGCATGGAAGACCGGAAAGCCTTTTGTGCCGGAGAACCTCTTTTTCCGGACCGTCGATACGGCTCGTCTCTTGCCCATGAATCTCGCGGATTTCCGGATCCAGATTTACGCGACGAAGGGGCTGTGGGCGCCCATGGAGCAGAACGGAAATACGGAAAGCTGGACTAATATCACGATTCTTGGGCTGGTGCGTCGTTTCCATGTCTTGTCACCATTGATTGACACCCCTGTAGATGCACCATATGCTGGTTTTCCGGAATATGCAAGATTATGCGGGTGGCGACATTCCGATTGTATGCATCGACTGGGATAAAGAACTCGTGGATGCTGCGATGGATTACTGGGTAGAGCTGAGTGCTGATAAATGGACGAAGGAAGAATGCGAGACGAAATGTGCGTAATCCTGTCTCTAATAATTCTCTAGCTAACCTCAGGCATTGTATAGTCTGTCAAGTCGCCGCTAAAGTACACGGTCGTAACCCTTGCTTCTACCAAGTTGACCTCTGCGTTCGCGCCCTCCTTCTCGACAAGGACGTCGGCTACGTCCCGCCGTTCATCGTCATTTTAGAAGCTAGGAAGGACGGTGAGTATCATCCCCAATTTCTTCTCTCTGTCGCAGTTTATCGCCTTCTCAGGCAAGGCTCGTGCGCTCTTCACCCGTCCCTCGCACTGCCCACCTCCCTCCATCCTCAACACCCTCCCCAAGACATGCGGTAGCGCCACCTGCACCGACTCCAAGTGCATCGGAATGTGGCGCATCGAGGATTGCCGGAGCCTCCATTACCCGAGCCCTATGATCCGAGAACTCCAGCGCTACGAAGATCGTGTCGTGTGTAACCTCTGGGGATGCGAAGTCAAGCCGGAGTTGGATGCAGATGGAAAGGTAGTTGGACTCCAGAGGTGCCAGAAGTGTAAGGAGGTTTTGTATTGCTGTCGGGAGCATCAGGTATGTTTCGTGGTGTTCTTTGAAGGAGGCTTTTCTGATATATGCGTGTCAGTCGGTGGATTGGTATACCCATAAACGCGTTTGCGAGGCTCCTCCTTAGGCTGATAAGGTAAGTTTTCCGTTCACCGTTTATTTCCACCCTCATGAACATTCCAGGGATTTGTTTCTCCTCTAACGACTAACAGAAATGAAGAAGCCGTCACCTTGAGATTAATATTTTTGTGCTGTAACCTATGGAACAAATGATATACGTCGTATAATGCTTGGGGTGTCGTCTTGCCCTCTTGGAGTGGCCGTCACACCGAGCTACGGTTCCTCCGTTACGAACTCTCTTTCTCTGCCTTCGCCTGGATCAACCTGTCTGGATGAGCCTTCCGCAGCACTGTCATCACGCGAAGCGGCAAGGCTTCAATGCTACTGAACTCAGATATCCGATGTCTAACCTTGACGCGTAGAACGGCGACTCACAGATTGATATGTCCCATCGGCGTTCGTTCGTTGATCATACCTTATCAACGTTTAGGCCACACCGGTCGGCCGCTAGCGACATAACCAGTAACGCCACACCGACCCAAAGACGCCTCATTTCCTTCCCACGTTTTTGTATTGCTATTTAGACGCTATTGTATCGATGAGGGCGCGGTTCTGATTCTTCTTCTCGGAGAATGAATAAGTAATTCTTATTGTAGATGCTATAACTTGTGTGACCATGAACTGGATAAATGAATTCTCCAAAGTCGAACGCGTGAAAAATACGTAGGTGTCTATACGAACCCTATATGCCGTCCGTGCCACTGCGGCCAAATCATCGGAATCTGAGGACGAAGGTTGAAGTATATCGCGATCAAGCTTCGACCAGACCGAAGACACCGTAAAACATTGATATATGACTGAACACACAAAGTTACGAGAAAAATGTACGATTGAAGGACAGAAAATACCTATTGTAGCTATTGGGGTAGGCCACGAGTAAACACTGCCGCGTCTCTGTACATAGATTATAGTATGCTGTTTCGAAATATAGAGTCAAAAAATGGTATCCAAGATCATCTGAGTGTGGGACAGTGTGGGAAAGATGCTTAAACAGCACTTGATATCTTCAGACGCATCAGTCTTCTCTAAGTAATTGTTATGCTACTTAAGGTGTAAGCCACAAGGGTGTAGTATTTGTGCGCCACCGTCCAAGGCGCACTGCACCCTTTCTCCCTTCTCACGTTGTTATAGTGGAATTTCCCACTCTCTTGCACGGTCTCCTCTTTCGTTTTTCGGAATCTCCGCCAACCCGCCAACGGCCCCATACTTCAAATACCGAACAGGAACGGAAAATTAACCTTCCATACTTTCCAGGATATAGAATTTTTCCTCTCTCGAGTCGGGAAAAATCCTCACTTGTTGAATTATTCCTTCCTCGATATCAGGAATGTCGAATTCCCCAATATAAGCCATCTGGAGAATATGATTCTCGGAGGGGGACATTCGATTATTGTCGTAAAGCCTTGCACATTATTGTTGCATATGATCGCTCTTGTGGATCAGTCTGCGTCTTCTCACCTTCAAATATTCAACTCAGGAGAATCTTTCGAATGCATTGATGACAAGCGCATACACGTCGGTCCCCTCGGTTCTATCACTTCGAATTGGCCTAGGACCTTCGAGGGCCAGTTCAAAGCCTCTCTATCGCCAATACACCTGTCGAAAGTGATGCTATGGAAACACTTCTTTGACTTTCCCCAAAGCTGATGGATCTGACCATTGAAGGGATGCAGCTACTAAAACCCGACTCCTATTCTTCTTTCTACTGCGCGAGTATTCCCGTTCATCTCATATCTCTATCCATGAGATCCATGAGCAAGAACGATATGTCTAGGATTATGAACATGATGAACGTCGAATCTTTGCGTGGACTGCAGAACTTAGTGCTTCAATCCAGGTCGACAGGAGGAGAAAAGCAACACAATGAAAGATACACTCGTTTCCTAAAGCGCTTATTCTTTTTCACCTGTCTTCGCAATCTCCCCTTCGCTCATCTCGGACGTGAAGAACGTGTCCTGATTTATCCCTTCCAGTCTGTGATCTGATATCACCTATTTTAGACAGGATTTTTTTCTAGGGCCATCGCAATGTGTCGCGCCTGATGATTGATATTCCAACGCGTTTCCCAATTATTCCGCAGCTCGAACTCGGAGGCAAACTTATTGGAAATCACTCAAACCACCTTACTATCAATGTATACGACATCGATGTTGGCACAGAAAGCGATTGCAAAGCGTGGAAAACGCTAGGACAGCTAATTCCCAGTAACGCTGTAGCGGAAATCCTCGAAATTTGGTTGTGTTACAAAAATGGGGAGAACGAAAATGCCCATAAGTATATAGACAAGCTTATAAATACGTTGATTGATCATATTATCTGTAAGATGCTTAGAATTACAAGGTTCCCTTAATCTGGGGAATAGATACCATGCCCAAAGACTTTGTACGATACTTCAACCTAAATAGTACTCTCACTTGAAACTTCATGATCTGTCTGAATATAAATCAGATATTAAATAGATTTTGCACCACTAGACTCTCCATAGCAACTTCTTGGATATGTTTACTCTCATCTATTGGTCGACAAGAGGTTCAGTCGCACTCTTCTCGTTGGTTTCTCCTGGTAAGGCCTGAATAAATATACCAGAACACAACGGAAGTGGAGTACGAGTAGACAGATGCAGACCCACACATAGTGGAAACATACAAAATAGCTGGATTCATTTTGCATGTCAAGAGACAACCCCTCCTGGCATCTGATTGGAATATGAAATAATTAAAGTAGGCGGCGTTCCCTTCTGTGGTCCTGCTCTGATGAGGGTGATGGCGGCGGTTCAGAACCAGTAGATAATAGTTCAAGATCTTTCCTGTTCAAAATATGAGTCCAAGGGAACTGAAGGTACAGAAAGATGTAATAAGTGGGATAGTCGACCGGGTCATACGGGAGTTAACGTGAAGACAGGGTAGACGTGATACAACGGTTCAATGGAATTGTATTCAGAATCAATTATTGCAATAAATCTCGCACATGAATGTTAGAGTTGGACAGTCGGAGACATGTTGGACGGAAGAAGAAAAGAGCACTCACCGATATGATACTCATATATGGTACAGTCGAAGTCGGTGATCCCGCGAAGGGGGTGGTGGGTCTCCATTCGCGACGAGATAGTGAAGCCAACGGTTTGCATTTTCTTCCCCGGATTAGTCGAACGAAGACTAGGTACAGTTAAACGATAGAAATCAAGGAAACGAGAGGAAGAGAGGCACAGGTTTAGCTGATTGCAGGGTCGGAGTAAACGCGACCAGCGGCAACAGAATTTCTGACATGAACTGTTACTGTTCGCGTTCAATGCTGAGCATTTTATTTCAACTGTAACGATAGTGGGGAAAAGAAAGATAGAATGGAGGCACAGAATTTGTGACTACCTACCACTGCGTGCACAGATAACACGTCTGTGACAATTAACTGAAATCCCCTCTTTCCCTCCAACCACGATGAGCGCTCCCAGAAACGTCCGCTACGCCGCGCAAACGCCCCTCATGTCATCCTGCGAACTCGAGAAATTTGAATTCACCGCTTCGATGAGAATTGACAACTATAGTACTATTTGCCGAAAGTATACTATCACTAATTATCATATCGTCAGTGAGAATCTGGCAGACCTTGAGCGATTTTGGCCAAGCGTCTTGTACCTTGGGAAAAGATCGATGGTAATTCCACTATTCTCAGAGACTGGGGTCAGGCCACTTCGCTCACGCCGATTTCTGATTGTTCTGGGTTACCTAAAATATCTACTGAGTATAGAGTGATCCTCAAGCTTGAGCTGGCTCGCAAACACGTTTGTGGACGTTCCAATCCAAGAACTGCTAGCAATCCGTCAGTACCGACCCGAAAGATAACACGGAAACGCGCCTGGTGCTCCCGACTGCAATATAGGACCTCCTTACACTTCTGGCACCTCTTCAGCGTCATCCGGCCAGTTATCACATCTTTCTGCATCTGGACTTCGCATCCCCAAAGGTTGCACACGACGCGATCGTCATAGCGCTGCGGCTTTCGGACCATGGGACTGGGATGATGGAGGCTCCGGGGACGCTCGGTGCGCCATAACCCGGTGCAGTCGGAGTCGGTGCATCTCCGGCTACCGCATACATTGGGCAAGGACTCGAGTAGAGAGGGCGATGGAACGTGGGACGGGCAGGTGAAGAGTGTACGAGCCATGACTGCATAATCATAATGTGGATCAGCGGCACGAAATGCGCAACACGGAGAGAACCCTCACTATCATACCCCATTTCTACAATAACGATGAACGGAGGTACATATCCGACCGCCTCATCGAGAAGGAGCGCACGGACACACAGGTCGAGCTCATAGAAGCTTGGGCTTAACCCGTGTGAGTCCCGAGCGATTTTGCAAACTGAAATACACAACACGTGTGAGATCAACGTGGACAAGGAAGGAAGAGACGACGAACATTTCGCTTCTCGTTCTTCCTTCGTCCACTTGTTCGCACTCAGCTCTATCCAGTAGTCCATCGCAAGATCCACGAACTCTTTTTCCCATTTGATGCATATGATAGGAATATCTCCTCCATAGTCGTGTATGTTACGGAAGATTAATATACGATGCATCTAATACCACTTGAGGCAGTGATTAGAACGGAAGACCAAAAAAACTCACCAGCTCAAGCACTGCGTAGGTGGACCACCTCTCCTTCACCCCTTGCTGTTCCAAAGTGTCCCACCGATCCTTCGTCGCGTACATCTGAACACGGAAACTCGCCAGGGACATGGGGAGGAGGCGACCCGTATCGACAGTGCGGAAAAAGAGGTTCTGAGGATGAAATGGCCTTCCCTTCTTCCACGCGACGGTCCGCCGCTGGTGCACACTCGCTGCATGGCGATACCACTTTTCGAATGCGGAGGATCCCTCTTCTTCAATGATGAGCCGTTCATCTTTGAATAAAACCTCGCGAAAAGTCTGGATCCTAGACGAAGAAAATTCTATCATGACGAGCTCTGAACAGGAAGATATGAGAGGAATTTCTGCGGCGAGGCGGGCATGTGGAGGTATGCTCATGGTTGTCGCTGGGTAAGAGATGAGGCATGTAGGCGACCGTCGTAGCCAGACCTCGTCGTTATAGCCTGTCGGATCGGAGCAGCGAAGTCTCCGAAGGTGATCTGCGTCTCCTGATATCGTAAAATCGAAGCTTCTATTGGCGGTAGACACTCTTTGCGTTGCACACAGATAGAAGAAATGGCAATATATTTCGCAACAGGTTATCTTGTAACGTTTTGTTGAACAGAGAGGTATCAGTGATTGTGAAGTCACGAAGAGGAATACATGGGGAGACGTTTCATGCGGGTTCGTATCCTGCAAATGAGGTTGTTGCTAATTATAGGAACTGCATCTTCAAATGATTCGCGTAATGATCGTCTACCATCATTCGAGGAACCAAGGGATTTCTGTGAGGTCTACCAACGCACGAACATATCTTCGTGCTCTCAAATCAGATCTTTGTTCAAAGTATTCAAGGGCTAAACCATACCTCGTAAAATACCGCGGTCGCAGAGGAATGGATAAGTACTTGACAAAGACGTCGCTTTGCCTGATTGAAATTAATTAGCTCTTGTTGAAAAGAAGCAGGAAGATCCTGCCTTGGATGGAATGGCATAATCCGGTTCCTCCGCGAACGTCAGTATGGTGCTTTTATTTAAGTAAAAGTGGCGATATTCACGATCTACGACAACGACACTGAAACAGACGACCTGCAGAGCTAGTGTATCAAGGTACAAAGGCACAAGCAGAATTCTTGATCCAGGACTGCTCATGCGCGTCCCGACCACATAACAGGGACAAGGTGATGCGGTGTAGTCCAGCGATACCTGCAATGTCGGTTTCCTGAACACATTTTGAGGAATCGTCAGATAGAGAAAACATATTTCAACGTACGATGATGGTGCTGCAGAATTGAGGAGACAATAGTTTTCGGCGGTGCGGCATCTCCTTCGTGTTTGAAATTTGAAGTGCGAATCCAGGGGAACGGAGGGGAGGGTACAGAAAGAGTTGAAAAGAGGGATAGTCGAACGGGTGATACGGGAGTCAGCATAAGGACAGGATGGATGTGATACAAATGTTCAATATAATTAGGCTCAGCATCGATCATTGCAATGAAGTTCGTGCCTGAATCCTATAGAGTTGGACGTCGAGGGACGCGGTGAACCGAAGAAGAGAGAAGTCACCTATACGGCACCGTCGACACGAGAACGGTTCACATTTCCTCCCTTGGATTAGGCCAATGAAGACTGCGCAAAGTTAGAAAAGAATTTCGATAAAAGAGATACGACGAAAAACTCGCCTTCAGCGTAAGCTCAAGCTCAGGAACCAGGCGAAGTTACGTTGATCGGTCAAGCCGTATTGACGACCGGATCAGCCTGGTCATAGACAATGACTCAGTAGCGCCAACGTTCAGTAGAGTATTTCCACTATTCAGAATGTCGTGCAAACATGGAGATTTACGTGCCACAAACCCTACGGTGGACTCACTGGGCATGAGCGTGTCAAAACGAAGAAATTTTCATTAGGATAAGGTACCAGACGCACCAAAGTGAATTTCCTGGAAATAGGTATCCTTTACTGCCCTGTGAGCTCGGTGCCGAGTATGACCTGATGCCGTTCTCACCAGGCTAGTGGTGCTCTCTTCTTTCTTCTAGAGCTCCATCGGTCCCTACCATCGTAGGTGGGAGTACATATCCAAGCATAGTTGTGCAAGATCGAAGCTGCGGTATGAATAATAGACGTTCGCGATGACGACGGGCAAGAGGAAAGGGTAACAGCTGGTGCTTGGGTTAGGGTTCGGATACTCGTGACGACTTTCCGGAATCCGGTCCGAAATCGCCCGAATCCTCTCTCCAATCAACTCCATCTACTTAGCCGTTTCAGTACTTGAAATTGGTCTCAATGCAGAAATACTTACAATCAATGGTAGTTTCAAGAAGTCCTACATGCATTGAGTATTCTCGACAACACGGAATAACCATTCCGGCACAAGATGTCTTCAAAACTTGAACATCACTTGCGACATGCTTCCCTGTCAATGATATTCGGGTTTCGCTTCCGATATGTCGTCTATTGCTGTAGCTGTCAGTGTTCTCTGATTTCATTCGTTGCTTTGTAGGAACTGCGACTGGGTTATCGCTTATCCTGATGGTTTTTATTACCTTCAGAAACGGAAGCCTGTCCGAACAAGAAACTTCGGCGTAGGATGCGGATGACCTACATGGATATATCCAGTTGATTTGACAAGTGTTCGCTCGCTGTCTGAGTCGATATCGATATCAATTTCCCGCGTCGACCAAGCAAAGACTTATGGGGTTCGTTTCAAAGTGTCTATTCCGGAGCTGATACAACCCCGGCTCCTGCAATTTAGGTTCGATAGTTTCCCAATTCCGCTAATTACCTGGAATATTCAATTCCCAACCCAATCGCTACATAGAGTGTCGACGTCCGGGCCCGGTCTCCATCCTCTCGTTCGATGGTTTATTCTCGCATGCCTTCAGGTCCCTGAGGTCTGAGGCTCAAAAATGATTCCTTCCCCATCCTCCGCAGATTCGGCAAATGAAATTGTATTTCATTCCGGATCATTCAATTTCAAAATTCCTGCTCTCCCGACGTCGATTATTTAATTTCCTCCGACAGCACCCTTGGCGCGTCACCGTTGCACTCTTCGAAGCTCCACCCTTTGACGGCTCCGTATGCTTTCTGAGAAGCCATGTCATTGAAGCATATCTCGCCGGTCCAGAGAGTTTCGCGGCAGCTCTGGGTCGCTGATATTCGACTTCCAATCCCGCGAGCATCGCGTCTAATTCATGATACACATCTAAACACCTTGTTCCTCATACTCAAGGGCGCATCGCACTAGACTATAGCTTCAAGGACATTCAATACCAAGCACCGTTATCCATTCCTTTCGGACTCTATTACGTCTGAATGGACTGTTTTCTTTGAAGTCGGAATACTCCTGCGATTACGTCTGAACTACCATACAACCGATATCCGGGGGTAGCGCACGGCTTATGGTGCCGACGAAACAGTATAAAACGTCTTCGGAGACCGCATAGGAATCCAGCACCAAGAAGATCTCGCCCATCTCTTCATCATGCTCTACCCACGTCTCGTTGTCGTCTTCTTCTCACTCTTACTCCTGCTCGTCGGTGCAACACCTACACCAAAGAATGCCTTCGACGTCTCCGTCAGAGCTGATGATAAAGCATCCAGTGCCCAGGAGGTTTTAGCCAACTTCAAGGCCTCTGCCGACCCTATCCTTGGCCAAATCAGTACGCGTGTCTACCTCGAATCGTCATATTGACGGCGTTCACCCGTTTTCTTAGATTCCATGATGTCAAATGGAGCCGCGACAAAGGAGAACATCACCCCATTGCTAAAGGAGCTTACCGGTGCCATCAACCAAGCCAGCCAGCATGCGTCTTCTCTTCAAGCTCGCGGGCTCATCACAAGGAAACGGTCTCTCGGCGATGTCGTGGCTCTAGCAGTTACCATCCTGACGGTGTGTTAATTAGCCGTTGTTCGCATTATACGCGATGCTCAGCTATTATTTGTTCCTTACAGGCCATCAACGCTACCCTCTTGAGCCTCATCGCGTCAGGTTTGGGTCTTGGAAGTTTGATAACGGTTGTTGTGGGTGCGGTGGGGAACCTACTTGGGCTGCTTGAAGCCCTCGTGCCTGGGTTGCTCGCGCTTGTCTTGCCTCTGTGTGTGCCTTCCTTCAACGCTTCTCTCCTTTTACTGAATATAATCTCGGATAGGCTCACGGGTATAGCGGGACCCCTCTTAGGCGTGGTTTCTGGTCTTTTGGGTATTCTTTAGAACATGATAGTTCGATTTTTGTTATTCCATACGAAGCTGTTTTAGTTATGGATCTTTCACATGGACATTTTGTACTCCTCTTCTGCAGCGAATCGTTGAGAGTAGGATTGATAGGTCCTAACAGAATAGAATACACGCGGAAGGCTTGATACTTCACGTGCTACGGTATCTCGTTTACGTGAATATGTTGTCACAATCGTATACATGGTACAGCAACAGGTCCCAAGGATGAATATACAAATCACAATATTTAACGGTCAATCTCACAAAAGCAGGCGGGAAGTATGTCCCTCGATCAATTCTTTACCTCCATACCTCCCCATTCCAGTACTCTGAAGAGCGCTTCGTCTTCCATCATATCGCAGTCCACACCAATAATACCCCTCCAAAATTCAACCTGCTCAGATGCGCGTGAGAGCGCACCCTCCCACTCGTCTAACTCATCCTTGCAAACCCTCTTGAAGAGCATGAATACGCGGGTGACGACATCTGGCTCCGGCTCGATATCGAGGGGGGCGGCATGCTCGTACGAAGTTTGAGGGAGGAAACGAAGTGCTACGAATTCGTGTTTCAAAATCGACGGAAGCCAGTACCTTGTGGGACATTGAGTCTAAGTGAAGTAATGGAGGAAATAATGACGTACGTGATGAACGAGGTCCTTGCTTCGACATGGAGACCGAGAGCGGTCAATGCTTTGTCGAGGTAGGGCGCAGTTTCTGATGTGGGAAGGACGACTGAGTCGCTGTCGGTGAGCTCAGCCATTAATGGGTTGAACGGGAGGGTACGATCGGAATCGGCTGCGCCCAGGAGAGACGTTGGAGGCGAGGGCAGTAGACTAGGGTTCGTCCTATGAGGATACCGATAAATATGCAGCCTGAGAAAAGAGCATAGAGAACTTACTCTGCTTCCCAAAACAAATAAGATACTCGTGCACCGGTAGCCATATCGGTCATGGTATTATCGTCATGAGTACTGACGTTCCATGTAATGAATTGTCCAGACTCGGAGGACTTGATGGGGACACTCGGGTATGTGGCAGAGAATGACCAGTCTTTGGTGAGCGATAATTGGACAACAGCATTTAACGGAAGAGGAGTGAATAGGTATACGACCGGCCTCTCGCCCCGCAATTTTAGAACAAGATGGACAGTAGACTCGTGTCCAATGTTATAATCGGAGATCCGACGCTCGAATTCGATGTTTTTTCCGGTAAAGATAAAACGTTGTTGATTAAGGGGTATACCTTCCTTGTCTTGTATCTTTTCTGCCAAGTCGGAGACCAGTGCAGACGGTTCCACGAACAACGTGATCGTTTTTCCGGTCAATGTTTTAATATAAATCTTCATTGATTGACTGGGAGGAGGTCGCATAAAACACTTGGTTTGGGTAGCTCCTGTTCGATATTCAATAAGTTACCATGAATAAGAAAGAACGACGCACGAGAGACAACCCTTGTGTATGAGATACAAGGACCAACCTCCGGCCATAGATCATCTGGAATATCGACATACTCTCCAGCGCAAATGTCCATTTCATTGGTTTGGATTACCATCGACTCCTTGGGAATTCTTGGGAAACGTTTTTGAAGAATACGGAGAATGTTCTGTGGGTATCGTGAGTGCATCGCCATCGATGGCTTCAAAATACTCACATTGTAGTCACCAGCTCCATGTCTACTGACGAGAACGCGATTTGTGTCATCGGTAGCAACGATATAATTCTTCGACGGAGTAGCGCCCATGGTTGATGGGGGTAAAGGAGATGCAGGGGCTGCGTCACACGTACATAGTAACATACGTTTATATAAGAAATGATGCGGCGCCTATCGCCTGATCCTGTGACTGATGCGGCGCTTAAAGAACACTGATAGACGCAGCGCGTCTAAGAGTACGTAGGCAGCATAGGGACACTACGAGTTACAGTAAGGGAAGAAGGGGCTCATTGTCAAGCTCAGCACTGGCCACAATGATGGTTAAACGTTGAAGTACGTGGGTAATATATGATATTCGAATTTGTAAAAACAGGAGACAGATAACGTAGCTTGTTCAATTCTTCGCCTTCGTACCTTCGTATTACAGCACTCCCAACAGCGTCTTTTCTTTCATCTTACTGTGGTCCACACTTAAATGCCTTTCCAAAATTCAAAGAACTCAGTCGCTCGAGGGAACGAACTCTCCATTCATCTAATTCATTTCGGCTGACCATCTTGTGCAGCATGGCCGACCTCATATGGGGGTAGCCCGCGACCTAACTCAGGCTGCTTTGCAGAAATTTGAGCTGGTCCTGGTCATAGTTTAGCCAGTGCCGAACAAATAACATGTCATGACGCACGAGAGGCAACCTTAATGTTACGAATACGAGGGCTAACTTCTACCCACAACTCCTCAGGAATATTGATGTATCGTCCATCACAAATGTCCAGCTCCTTGGTTTGGATGATCATCAACTCCTTAGCAATATCCGGGAAATGTTTGTGAAGAACAGATAGCAGGTTCTGCATGCATCATGAGCGCACCGACATCGCCAATTTCAGAATGCTCACACTATAGTAACCTACTTCATACCTACGGACGAGAACAGTGCTCGAACCATCAGTAGCTGCGATGTAATCCTTTGACGCGCTAGCCCCCATATTTGATGGATAAGAGAGATGAAGGGGACGTGTTGCCTCCGTGGGAGTGCCGTTTATGTCGGGCACGACGAAGCGCCTATCGCCTGATCTTGTGACTCACACAGCGTTCAGAGAACCCTGATAGACGCCTAACAGGTTACATAGCCATCATAGCAATAATGACTGGCGAACACGTATTAATATCCTATCCTGCCAGTAAGTGTAGTAGGGTTGAATAATCTCATACCTGATATGAAACAGGCAGTGACTGTGGACAGGAGATAGTAGTTGGATAGTTGAGCTCTTCGTACATGATCTAGAATGGCACCGAAAATAGGGATTTGGGAGTGTTGGAAAACGGGGTATCAGTTCGTTCCCAGTGTCACATGCACGGTAGCAAGCCAATAGTATTGCGCTTGGCTGAGCTCTGCAAATGCATGAGGATCTACACTAAAGTACCTACTTTTATACTAAATGTACTTTTACTAGAAATTTCCACGCTTTTCCTAAGACTTCTACCTTAATAAGCAGACTCGGCATGATGCCGGATTGCCAAATCCCAACAGGGAGATTTTATGAGCTTCAGCTTCTGCAACGGAATAAAAACAAGCTGTACTCACGGTGTCATCGCTATAGATGCTGGAACAACAGTGGATACGGGAAAAGAGGGCGAAGTTGGGCTAAGTGGGAATAAGCGGCGAAGACAGTCTATATTTAGTTAGGAGGCTAGGTAATCACGGCACTGTCATCTTGCTGCGGTCTCTGCCACGTGGTTATCTCAGTTCTGGCTTCTCACGTAAAACGTTGACCAGTCTTTTAAAACGTTCCTCTCTTCCTTGACGCTCCTCGCTAAATGTATCTGTTTAGCGCTACAAGTAACCAAAGAAAAACCTCCTTTCCAACATTCTTAACCCTCCGTATCGCCCATGGATCTACTTAATGCAGATACACAGGTCTGTCGATAAATCTTCCCTCTCCTGTTGCTTGAGGGCTCACCACCTTGTTTCTTTAGCGCGTCTACAGATTTTTACACTTACATGAGGGGCTTAGCGTCGAGAGATGTATCTCCGGAACTCATCATTCTACAAGCGAGATCAGCTTATAACGCATCAAACCTTGAAACCTTTCCTCCGGCTATCCACGTGCTGTTATTGCTTGACATGGCCGCCCTAGCACACGGTATTTAAGGATCGAAGTCGTCTTTCGCCTTTTTCCCCGCATACACCCTGTCTTTACTCTATCCATGTCGTTTAACGTCTCGAATACCTATGGAGCAGTAACAATCGGCGCGCTCTCAGCCTCTCTGTGAGTTTCTTTTCCTTCAGCCTGTTAAATCTAATGATTCCACAGACTTTCTGGCGCAGTAGCCATCCAAACGATTCTTTACTACAAGCTGTATCCATCTGATTTGATTAGAGTTAAAACCCTCGTAAGTCCTGTCTGCGCTGTCATCTGTTGAGCGTTGAGCGTCTCTGCAGGTATTCGCTATATGGTATGCGATGACGTTCATCGTTGCGATTCGTCCCTGAACTATAACCCGACAGGCTGCTCGATACCTGCCACACCTGCTTCGTCTGGGTATCTCTATGGAACATGCTTATCAGCGACTATGGTAGTATCGATATCATACCTTGGTGAGAATCTACTCCCACCTTTCCCCGCCACCATCACTCATGTGTCTGTAGGAGCATCGGGGTCAGTCATTTCTATCTCCAATTCAAACTTTGTTTTTGATGGATCAGACAGGTGACCATCGTCATTACGGTATAGCGCCTCGGGTCCGCCTCACCGATATTCATCTGACAGTTCTCGTAGGCTGTGTTGACGTTTTTAGTGCACTGGTATGTTCAGACATATGTTGATTGGCGAGAATCTATCTCAACTGACCAACGCCGTAGCTTCTTCGCCCATAGGATATTCATGCGTAGGTTTTGATCTTACATCCTGTTCACCTTCATCCAATATCACCAGTTAGCAAGCGAAATTGGCTCCTTACATGCCCCATTGTCAGTTGACCGTATGCTGTACTCTGTTTCATGTTCTGACGCGCACCCGGCAGCTGATCCTGGCGGCATTCCGTCTCGGTGAGAGTTTATCTGTATCGCGCTGGGGCTATTGTTTGACTTCTCTATTCTGGTCTAGCTTCTGCTTGTGGTACGTTTACGAGACTCTTCGTCCCGTATATTCAAAATCCTGACGTAGAACAATTCAGTCACGACATCTGAAATGTATGTGCATTCAAAGCTTAAATTCGCTCCATTGATAATACGCCATGATTCCCGAAAGGATACGCTTAAAAACGTACCCTGCATTCAAACAGGACTTCCGAGTATATCATCTCATACGTTCTCGGAATATCGCTGACCCCTGAACTACAGTGGGTATTCACACTCGGTCTGGCGCTATCGTCAGCGGTCGACATGCTAATCACCGGGTCTCTCTTCGGTCTACTACATAAAAGTCGCTCGGAGGCCGAGAAGTACGAAATCCCTTCCATTCTTGTCCCACCATCTAATTCCGAGCGACCTAGCCTTAATGCCGTCATCGATTCTCTGATCCTGTACACCTTCGAGACCGGGTCTTTGACATGGTGCGGGTGTATTTCCAGCTCTTTCAGATAGCTAAACTAAGATTAGCGCGGCAACTATCATTGACATGATTTGTGTGAGTCTTCTTTAAAGTTCCGCGCTTCGTCATCCCTCATTCCCACGGCAGTGGATCACGATGTCATCAAACTTAATATTCATGGGATTGCATTTTGTCATTAGCAAATGTACGTCTGGTGGGAACTCCTGTCATTCTAGCTGACCATCAATGACAGTATACGCCAATTCATTATTGGTAACGTAAGTCTCCAAATTCGTTCACCTATCTTCCATTCACGTAAATGTGACTGGCAGGTTAAATACACGTCGTGGTCTACGTAGAGGACAGTGGTCTTCGTCTGGTCGCACCGGGAGTGCGATAATTTTGGATAGTCGTCGACCCCGCGATCGAGTAGTGGTGCGTTTGTCTTCTGAAGTGGTGAGACTGGGAATCTTACACATTCGTTCTCTGTTACAGACTGACCCGGAGTCGGCTAAACGAGCAGAGGTACGTAGTTTGGCCTTCTGGTCCGGTTTCGTTACTCATCACGATGCGTAGCTTCAAATTAATGTGGAGCGGAGCATCCACTATTCAACAGATTATTAATGCCGAGCTCGCAACTGGCGAAATAACTAGCGAGAAGAGATTGAGTACAGGTGATGTGGTGTAAACACTACGGCTTCCACTTGATTCGAGTGGATTGATTATCGCCTGTGATGCTCCACAAAATAGATGAATCATTCGTCTTAATAGAAATGTCTCAATACCCGTCTATTCTGCACGTCTTGGGAAGGATTGTGAAGCCACAGCATTCCGCGAAATGGCTTTCCGGTGTTCCACGGTTACGGGATCCATTCATATCAATGGATAGTGCGCCGGCTGTTGCTATCAACCATATCTACGGTCGAAGTATCCTGGACGGCCATCAAGGCAGGCTGTCGTATGGCCTTGGAGTAACAAGGAATAGAGATCGTCCGGGTGTTGGCTGCTTTCGCTCAGTATCATTGCCGAATCTTGTCGGCACGTTCTCACACCCGGACACTATTCAATGCTGAAAAATATCGAATCGCCCTACTATAAGCATAACTGCTACATTATCTCTGTTCGTTCGACCGCGTCAGGGACAAGCCTGTAACCCGCTACAGCTCTCCCGTCAAACTTGGGGAGCGATAACGCCCACGAATGGATAGCGGCGAATGATTGTTCCGATCAACAACGAATGCGCCTAGTTCTTGAGCGGTAAGCGTCAGCCCATTTCGGAACTCTCACCATACGAAAAAAACGCTGTGCTTCATTCTCTGTGTGCGCGCATTGTGTGGTTCAGTGGTTAAGGCCGGAACTCGAAGTTCGGTCCTTCTATATGCGAACTCAGCAGCGGCACCGCTCCCTCTTGGTTGTTTTGCTTTCCAAGATAGGCGCGCCTCTGTTTACATATATTAAATCCAATTCTATACATGTCTTAGCTAAGGAAATAACTCTAGCGATATCGGAGTGGATGATTTAACTTCTGCATGCTGATTATATCGCAATTTTTAGCGCTCAGTTCGAAATGTGCTCCAGTTCTTTCCAGGGATATGGCTAAGCAGGGTTACTTGTCATTCGATTTCCTAGAGTTCGACCCCCCTGTATCCTAATAGGTTATTGAACAAGAAGTTATTTTACTCGATATCACTTGAAATTCGGATTGGCTTGATTTTGCTGTGGATGTTCATGTCGTTCTCTCTGCGTGATCTGAGTATCAACGCTTCGGATCGCACTTTATTCATTATAAAGATTCCTCATCTCTCCGAGAACAAGTTCATCCTTCTTGGATGGCGCTGGCTCGACGCAAAACTGGCATCATACACTGTTTCCTATTGTGCGGCGTGGACGGCTTTTTGATTTAGAGCCGACAGTAGCCCAATAAGCTGCACACGGCGTCGATAAGGAAAACCTTCGCCATTTTAACAGTCAGGCAAATCCAGTTAAGGTTTGTTAGCCACCAACTCACAAACAATGTCAAACAAGGGGCCGCCACTCGCACTTTGGTGGTTTCAGCCTGATCCCTGCGGCAATACTTGTTGGATGAGCTAGTTACTACTTAGATAGTCGCGGAGCAAGGAGTTCGAGTTGGGTATATTAACCTCAGCCGAAGCTGGGGTTTAGACCAGCGAAGGCTCTACTTAAATACAGGTAGGTCTGTGCTAATAATAGTATACTACGTTCAGTGAACATGTGTGAAACAGGTAAAGTCATGCGGCGACCGGTTGTCGCAGTATTGCAAGACAAGCGTCCGGTTAAGGCATGTGAACTGTCTGTCTAAGCACTGAAGATAAGATAGATGCTTGGATAAGATAAGAAAAAGAAAAGAAATCATAACATTACCCCCTCCTTAAGACTCATTCGTCCTGAATGATTCATCATCAGATTTGTCCTCTTCCTCATCCCAGTTTTCATGTACCTTTTTAAGGTTTTCAACATCCGTCTCCTTGTATTCGACTATTCCTTCTTTTCCTGTGGCCTTTCTGCTCCATTCATGTCAGGATATTCCATCTGATTCTAGCTCTCGGGAACATGTGGAAGACTCATAACCATCTCGTTTGAGGGCTTCATCTCATTCTTTCACTATTTTTTCAATGAAGGTTTTTACTGCCAGCCAGTCTTCATTGGCTATTATGGCATGCTCAGAGAGGGAATTAGGAGTGTTTGCTCTGGAGGCTCATGCTCCCAGGACTGGTCAGGTATGGTGAACTGAATGCTTGGATTGGATGTTCGAGGGTGGATTGACCATGGAGGAAGTAGACCCGATGTCATGAATTCACCCCTATTTTTTGCTTTATCTTATCTTATCTCAGCATCACAGCAACTCGTCATTCAACTCTTGTCATCATTCCTCGCACCTGATCCGCATCACTCATGACCCGCTTGGTCACACCGCCCACATGCTCTGACTCCTACTTCACACACATGATCGCATCGCTCACACGTATGATCCGTTTGATGGCCCATAGGTCTGATCATACTTCTATGGGCCCCACCCTTGATATTCCCTCATGCTTTGTGGGTTGACATAAGTCACACCCCAGGATGGATAGGACACCACGTATGCTCCTCAGAAGATAGCACCACACGAGTGCTAGTCTTCTGATGCACTAATGCGCTTCTACCATATCAAGCACCATATGGATGCTGCCCTTCCTACTCGCATGAGCGCTTCTCCTATACCAAGTGTTACAAGGATGGAAGCCATAATGTTCACAGGAGGACTTCTACCATACCAATGCCATATGATACAGAAGACAGTGATGCATTAGGACAGTACATACTAGTAAATACAGCAATGTATTTAGTCGAGCCTTGCTGTGGTCTTACACCCCAGCTTCGGCTAAAGTTATACACTCCTAACTTTTCATGCAGAAACTCCCTGTTTCCAAGACTAAGGACTATCATTTCTGACCTAGCGATTGCAATGCCCTCTTCACAACTGAATCACTGAACGCGAGTGACAGTTTAGAGGCAAATGTTGTTCAGTCCAAGTTAGTGCATTACACCCAAAATGTGTCTCGGTGTCTGATGGAAGCTCTTGGAATTTGTTGAGTACATCATAGGGGTCAAGAACCTTGGGATCTTCCCCTGTTTGGATTCTCTTTGTGATCCTTTGGATCTGGGCTTCATACTCATTGACTAGCTCTTTGGCATTGGCCATGTTCAAATGTTTAACCCAGGAGTTTTCTTCCATTGGATATCCCTTCCACTTGACCAGGTATTCGGTAATGGTGTAACGAGCATGCCAATGGAAACCCGACTTCCACTCAACCCAACAAACCACAGCCCGGAATCCTACGGATTCCGATTCCCACTTTCTATTTCATATTCCATTTCATATTCCTTTTTATATTTCACTTCTCCATTACAATTTATCAATAGCCCGACATCGGTAGTGAACATGTCATCAGACCCCATCGGCTACTGACCGGTAGAATACATCCTCTGACAACCCTAGAATGTAGACCACTCCGAGTAGGAACTAGATCGGACTCCTAACTAGTATATAAGCCTTAGAATTACACTGTAGATACTCAGTTCAAATATCAACTTGGTTCAGCCCAATCTCTCTCTCTCTGACTCTAAGTCTAACTCTCATTCTCCAGTCTGCGGAACTCCGATCCGTTGGACTTATCTTTTACCTCGTCTCTGCCACTCCGCGGACTTCCGTCTGTATCCATCTTAGGGCTTCGGCTCAGGGGTGACATTGCTAATAGCTTCGCCTACGCCCGACGCATCCCACGGCATTCCGCTATGTGCACTTACTGCCGCAATCCTATTGGCACGATCCTAACAAATGGTCCTACGGTTCCTTCCTTTTCCTACAACTTTGTCCCTCTGCTCAACAATTTCCTCTATTTCATACTCTTCTTCATCTTCCAGCAGCTCAGGGGGAGGCCTCTCTGGTTGTGGTTGATTTGCGAACTTGGGTGCGACATAAGGGGTTAGGAGAACTTCGTTAAAGTGGTTATGGATTTTCCACCTGACTGGTAGTTTGAGCTCATAGGAGGATGCGTCTTTTTTTGCAATAACCTCAAAGGGTCCAATGTGTTTATCTCTGAGCTTCTTGGTGGGTCGGGGTAAATGTAGATGGGTAGAGTTGAGCCATACTTTGTCTCCTGGTTGATACTCTATCACTGTGTCCTTATGCTTGTCATAAGCCTTCTTCATTGCTGTTGCTGCCTTTTCCAATGACTGTCTCACTTTCTCTTGTACATCCTTTATCCCTTCTACTAACTTGGCGGTGGCTGGAACGATTCCCTGTTTGGTGCTGCTGGTGATAACCTGTCCATCTCGTCCGAATACTACTTTGTATGGAGAGTATCTAGTGGCAGAATGTTTGCAGTTATTGTGTGTGAATGCGGCGAGTGGTAACCATTTGCTCCAGTCATCCTGTCAATAATTGACAAACATCTTCAGGTATTTCTCAATTTCTTGATTAACCTATTCAGTCCGTCCATCAGTCTGAGGATGATACACCATTGAGGGGTTTCCGGTTACATGGATCAAGTCGTAAAATTCTTTCATGAATTTGGAGACAAATATGGAACCTCTATCCGAGATTATCTTTTCAGGCATTACTCCATAGGGTACATATATGTGGTCTCTGAGAATTTTAGTGAATCCAGCAGATGTGAGTTCTTCCATGCATGTGATGGGAATGATGGTTTTCGAGAAACGATCAACAATAACCAGGATTGAATCATAGCCCTTGGAATTCGGTAACTTGGTGATCATGTCTACCAAAATGTGCATCCAAGGCTTGTTTGGTACTTCATTGGGGTGTAAAGGAGCCTTCTTCAGTTGTCAGTCTGCTTTTGTCCTTTGGCAGACTTCACATCCTTTTATGTAGGTCTCGATGTCTCATCACATCTTGGGCCACCAATAATCCCAAAGTACTAACTCCTTTGTTTTTTCCACTCCGGGGTGTCCTGCCATCATGTGATCATGTTTAAGAGTGATCAGCCCTCCCCTGAGTTTCTTCTCTTGGGATACATATACTCTTCCATTGTACTTCAATAACCCTTCTTCCTTTATTATTCCTTTTTCATGATTGAACAAGTTAGCAATTCCCTGATCCC